TGTTGGAGCTGTCAGCTGGGAGTGTCAGTGGCCTGCCCCTGGCTTGGGAGACACTGAATTTCCTTTTATCATGAACTTAAACCTGGCTTGACAGGAGCAACCACAGCTTTCTCTTCCTCTGAGTTCCCGGTGCCCCCAGAGCACTCTCCACACTTAATTGCATTGAAAATCTGCACCCGTGACCCCCCCCCATATGTTAAGTTTCTGCCTGCTCCAGACGCACTCTTCCTTCCTCCCCCTTTAGCTGTAGAACAAACGCTGCCTAGGAGGATTCTGTGCAGGCTGGGGCTCAGTGTCCAGCCCCTTCTCCACGGTGCCCAGCTGTGCACGGCCAGAGTCTGTCTGCAGCACCTTGGAGATGTCTCCGGAGAGGTCTCCACTGAGATGCCCGAGCCGAGCACTCAGGATGCAGGGACGCGGAGCACGTGCTTGTCTAGGGGACAGCGTTGACATGCTCCCTGCCTGCAGCAGGTGTTCGTTATTGATGATTCTGATACACGACACACCAAACCCTCATTTTAAGGGCATCATTCAAGTTTATTCTGTTTTATTCTGCTGTTCGTGGCTCTCTCCTGCCCCGACAGCTCCAGTCTTCATAAAAATGAAAACTATTTGATGGGTCAAAGGTAAATACCAAACAGAAGCTACTGTTCATCATCTTTGGAGGGATGAGCCAGCAGGGGCCTGGTGGCTCAGAATTGGATGTTCTGAGCTGTCATTGTGTCAGCTGAGGGTGGATCCTCTTTGTCATTTTGGAGCCCACAGTCCCTCCTGCTGTGCTTGTCACCTTGGCAGGCTCTTTTCCCCTCCCCACTGCTCTAAATGGGCCAGAATCTGAATCCATAGCAAGCCACCCTGGCCTTCCAGAAAGGTGCTGGTTTCTAGAAAGATCCTGCTGGTGATCTGACTCCCTGATTGCTTCCTTTCCTTCTTTCACAATTTCTTAAAATGCTCTAGCCCTGTGTGGCAGACCTTTTGTCCCTGCTCCTTCTGCCTCTGCCACAACACCAGTGTCCGAGCTGTTCCCCTCACCACGCCCTGCAGCTCAGCACCCATGCGTTTAGTCCAGTACTCTGAAGGCCACAGAGGTTCAGAGAGGAACCCTGGCTGTCCTGATTGTGCTGGGTTCTGCCCCGTGGTCACTCCAAGAGTTCAGAGGTGGTTGGAATGACCCAATCCCTGGACTGTCTTATGGCCCTGGTTCCCAGGGGTCTCATGGATGGACCCCTTGTTCTTCTCGGGGCTGTAGTTCCCAGTGAGTTCATATTTGAAGGTATCAAAGCCTCCTCCTGGTTTTTCTTGCTGAGGCCCACTTCCACCATTCCCCACCATATTCTGGGGCCTTCACCCTCTTCTTCTTTCAGGATCTTCCGGATCCTGCTATGTCGTCTCTTCACTCCAGGTGGGCTCTGGGACCTACAGTCTTGGGTCTCACAGGAGACAGCAGTAGTACTCATTGACTGGGATGTTTCTAGACCAGTGGCTTCCACTTTTCCCCTATGACATGCGTGGAACTAGGGAGTGAGTCCCCCAGCAAGGCAGACTGAGGTCACCATTCATTAAACAACATGTAACAACGGTGGCATCCTGGTAGGGCTTAGATGTGAGGTGTCCACAAAAGCTCATGCGTGAGACAATGAAGGAAATTTAGAGGGAAATGAATGGGTTAGGAGGGCCTTAACCTAATCAGTGCATTAATCAATTAATCCCTGATGGGGACTAGCTGGGTGGAGACTGGAGGCAGGTAGGGTGTGGCTGGAGGAGGTGGGTCAGTGGGGGGGGTGTCTCTGGGTTTATATTTTGTCCTTGTAGAGCAGAGCTCTCTCTGCTTCCCAGTGCCATGTCCTCAGCTGCTTGCCTCCACCACACACTTCCGCCATAATGTTCTGCCTCATCTCAGGCCTCGAGGAATGGAGTTGGTCATTGTTTTAGTCAGATTTTCCACTGTTGTGACTAAAAGACCCAACCAGAACAATTGTAGAGAAGAAAAAGTTAATTTGGGAACTCATGGTTTCAGAGGTCTTCGTACACAGCCAGCCAGCTCCATTCAGTGGGACTTTAGATAAGGCAGAACGTCCTGGTGGAAGAGTGTGGCAGAGGGAAGCAGCTCACAGGATGGTCGGGAAGCAGAGAGAGGTGGAGACCTCTCCACTTGCCAGATACAGATGTATACCCCAAAGCCACGCCCCCAGTGCCCCACCTCCTCCCGCCACACCCCACCTGCCTTCAGCTACCACTCAATTAATCCCATCAGGTGATTAATTCACTGATTGGGTTAAGGCTCTCGTGACCTAATCCTGACTTCTCTGAACCTTCTTGCAGTGTCTCACACATGAGCTTTTGGGGGACACCACACCCAAGCCATAACAGTCATCTATGGACTGAGACCTCTGAAACCATGAGCCCTCAAATAAACTTTTCGCCCTCAAATCATCCTTGTCAGGTCTTTTAGTCCCAGCTGTGAGAAAGTTGACTAGAACATATCCCATCACCGTCACTACATTCTGGCAGAAGCAGGTCACAGGGTCTGTCTATACCCAAGGATAGCGAATTAGACAAGGGTGTGAACCACAGGAGGTAGGGGTCATTGAGGGTCACCTTAAGGCCTATCTGCCACATACTTTGAAACATCATTGCTAATGACACTCTTGGCACAAGAGTGAGTTTGATACGTGGAAGAGCACCAACCTTGTTTCCATCCTCCTGCTAGTATGTGAACTCAGTCTTTGTGCACATCAGCAATGAACGTTTTCCACATATGCACCCTTAGCACTAGCCCAGGTCATGGTAACTCATTCTGTGTCCTCCAGGTAAATACTGAGGGCTTACTCTTCACATAAACTGACCTGGACCCTGGGGAACTAACATGAGTCATAGAAACAAAGATGATGCTGAGAGGGAGGAGCCACGAGAGCGCATGGGCATGAGCACATCTTGATTAGAGTGCTGAGGGTGCAGGTGGACAGTCCAGAGGAAGGAGGTGTCTCCTGCAGGGGCTGAGTGGAGGCAGCACGGAGGTGGAGCCAGAGCGGGACACAGAGGTGGAGCCAGAAGAGGAGGTGGAGCCAGGGAAGGGGGTGGGGCCAGAACAGGAGGTGGAGCTGGAGCCAAATAAGGGGGTGGAGCCAGGGAAGGGATGTGGCCAGAGCAGGAGGCAGAGCTAGATTTAAGAGGCAGGAGGCCAAGCTAGAGTTAAGAGGCAGAACCAGAGATGGAGCTGGAGCCAGCATGGGGGGCGGGGCCGGAGCCAGAACGGGAGGCAGATTAGGAGCTGGAGTCAGACGAGGAGGTGGAGCCAGAGAAGGGCAAGGCCAGAGCAGGAGGCGGAGCTAGAGTTGGAGCACAGAGCAAGGAATGGGCTGGTGAAGTCAGGAGGATCTAGGCCAGAAGGCCTTAAAGCCTGTACTCGAAAGCTTTCCCAAGGATAGTAGGGAACTGGGGAGAGGAGAAGGGGAGCTGCTAGTTGCATTTGTGTTTTAGATATCTGACTATGGTGCAGAAGCGGGACTGAGGCAGAGGCAAGACTAGAAACAGGGACCAGCCTTGGAGAAGAGATACGCTGGCCTAAATCAAAGCGAGGCAGTGGGAAGGGAGTGGCGTGGACGTGTTCTGAGCATGGACCAGGACCTAGGAATCAGCGTTTGACCACGTCCTGCTGGCCCCTTTTATGCCATCCCCTGTGCTAAGGCACAGAGGTGAGGGGGAAAATGTGAATATGTTATGACCTTCAGCCGCCAGGGAGACCTTGTAGAGCAGAGAGACCTGAGAGAGACCTGGTCATTAGAGGCCTTATCTTTCCTACAGGAATGTGGGCTTCATCCTGAGAGTCATTGAAAGGATTCAAGGCAGAGAGATCACTGGATCAGATGTGCTCTCTGCCTGTGGCTGAAAAAGGGGCAAGACTATACAAGTGGGAAGGCCGGTCAGGCGGCTGGTGGCAGCAATCCCAGGAGAGACGGCAGTGGCTTGAGCCGTGATAGGGACAACTTCCACTGAAGTGTACTTCTGGCCCCAGCCAGAGGCAGCAGGGGTCGGTGTTCAGGTCAGCGCTGGGAGGGAGCTGCCGACTCCACTGGACAGCCCTGTGCCTCTCACTCCTCTCCTTTGGCCCCTGGAGAGGCAAGCGTAGCCTGACCCTCACACATTGTCCCCGGAGTTCTCTAGCCTCCAAAACTGTCTCAGACTCGTGCAGGGAGCCTGTTACAGGGTCTGGGTAGGAACAACATTAGCAACCAGCCCCACGTATCTGCCCCTTCCTGTGTGGCCTCAGGGCACCTTTCATCAGCCCAGAACAATTATTTGGGTTAGTGTGGAGAAGCCAGGCCTCCTAACAAGGGGAGGCTCTGGGCTAATACAAGTACCTTTGGACCAGCTGGGCCCAGGTATTGAGCACGACTAGGAACTCAAAAGAGATCACTGAGTGACTAGTAGGAGAGGGGATCCTCGGCCCCAGAGGCTCCTGTTTTCCTTTGAAGTCTGGAAGTTGGGGACCTTGGAGAGACCACTCCACTTTCTAGCTCCGTCAGGCCAGTAAATCCCTCTACCCACCACTGTCCTTGATCCAGGGCTGCAGGGCTCTTGTCCCTGGTCTTGCTCTTAGCCATGCACATGACAAACACAACCGCTATGTGGCATCCCATCAGACCCTATTAGGGCCCCAACAGAGAAACTGAGATGGCCGACTCCACAGAGTAGTAGATGGCTGCTCTCCAGGTCCCAAGCCACACTGGCCTCAACCAGCGGAGATTCTCTGTGGAGGTGCCCAGCCTGATTTTCTTATAGTATAGGATTTCAGGATCACAGTGCAAGGATCACAATGAGAAGACCTTTGGGGATCAGCTCTTCCTTTCAAGAAGAAAAGAGATAAATGTCATGTCAAAAATGGCCCATAAACACCTTAGAAGCTTTGTGGTAAACAAACAAAAGCTTTATTATTATTATTATTATTATTACTTCATTAAAAAATAACAAGACATCAAAAACAAACTGAGAACTTGGACCCCCTGGGTCCACTCTGCATTAAGCAAAGTAGCCCCACAGGAAGATGGCACAGGTCATGCAGACAATGCAGTTGACATCCAGAAGGGTTTTCACAATGGGGTTTTCCTCCAAGAAATCTATCACAGGTTCCACTTTGCCTGGGGGCTCCTCTTTGCCCTTGTTCTCCATTCCACAGAGCCACAAGATGGCCTTCACTACTTTGGACCGCTTTGGGGTCACATCACCTAAAAAGAACCCAGCAGAGAACCGTCATAGAGATGGGCTTGGTCTCCCGGAGATGGGAGAGCAGAGCCAATCTGAATTTGTTTGTGCAGTGGGACAAGCACTGGATGTTCGTGTTCCAGAAACACAGTCCAACCTCCATATCCCTGGGTTCCACACCCACAGAGCCAACCAAACACCCATCATAGATGTTTGGGGGTGGGGTTGGGTCAGAACTCAACATGTACAGACTTTCTTTTTTTGACATTTCCCTCAAACAATATGGTGTAACTATTCACGTAGCAATTACATTGTATTAGGTATTACAAGTAATCCAGAGATGATTTTAAGTATGGGGAGGATTGCGAAAGTTACTTACATATAAATGCCAAACCCTTTTCTACAAGGGACTTGAGCACCTGTGGATATAGGTGTCCCCATGGGACCTGGAACTGGTTACCGAGGAACAACTGTGTTCATTAATACCTTAAGTCTGGAAGACTTTAATTCTGCAAGATTGGTATTTTAAGACTCTCACTGTCTTCCAAGAAAGAAATTGAGGCTCAAACTAACTAGAGTGAAGTCACACCCCTGGTAGGCAGGGACAGAGTGAATTTATGAAATCTGCCACCTCCAAGATTAAGGACACCTTCCCCACACTGAGAATCCAAGCACCAAATTAACTTTGGAACTTCCTAAAAACTTGCTTTCTGCATCCCCCATTTCCTCACACTGAGAGTTAAAGCCAATGGGCTACCCCCCAACCCCCACCCCGTGACCTCACAGGCACCAGGGAACCTGGGACCGACCACAAATCTGCATATGTATATTTCCGGCCTTCTTTTCTCTCAATTTCCTGAAGATGACTATTTGAGAATAAATCTCCTCTATCTTCCTTTACAACTGACTTGGAATAAACCTATTTCTCCTGCCCATTTGACTCCCAAGTATTTTTGGAGGGAAGGTCTGGCCCAGTTAGGACCCAGCTCTGACTCCCCTATGTCACAAGGCCTCCAGAAGGCAGGAGGGAAATGGGCCCTTTGTGGAAAACTCCATTTCTCTGCAAACTCAATGGCCTGTCGTGAGTTGACAGGGGACATATCTGAGTCACAGGAGGCATTTTTGCATCATGTTAAGAATCATCTTTGCCTCTATCCAGAAATACGCTTTCCTCCATTTCTCTTTAAACACGTGGCCCTCTGGAGCTCCCCACTTTGGGTTGGCACAGTTCATATCCACAGTATCCAACACCACCACCAACAGAAAGCCATGACAACCCACGGCCCTGGGGACATGGAGATAATAGGAGCTGGTGGGGACTTGGACTAACTGAAGGGCGCATCCCGTATCCTCTTAAAGCTCTAAGTGTCTCTCGTCATGTAGATACATGGGCACAAGCGTTGCCATTTTTCAAAAGAAGATGGAAATCTGGAATCCTATGTGAAATCTTCCAGTTTTTAAATGTCAACTCACATCTTATTAAAACAATAGGTGCTGAGGCCAAATAGGTCAGCCAGCGGCCAGTTTGAAACCACTCATTTAGAGAATGTCTCTGTGATCTATGCACCCTGAGGATACATGACCGACGTTTGAGTGGCCACCTAGGGGGTCTGCTGTTAGTGACCATCTGAGACTTCTCTTCAGAGTTACCGGAGAACCCCTTCAGGTGGCCAGAGAGTGGAAGGACCAAACCCTGGATGCTAAGATCCCAAGTCCATTCCATTTTCTGGCTTGTGATTTGATAGAGAAACTTCCCCATAAACACAGAATCCTTCCCTGGGCTCCTGTTGTAACTAAGGGAAGAGGCAACTCACAGCTGTGGGGTTTGGACATGTTTTCTTGAACAATCTCATTCTGGATGCTGGTGCTGGTGGTCTCTGGGGTCCCATTCTGAGACAGTGTAAGAGGCAGGGGAATTGCTGGTGGAACTGGTTCCTTCTGGACCCTGGGGTCGTGCCTTGTAAACCAGGTCAGGCGACTGACCTAAGGAGCAGAGGTGAATTGTGAGATACGGGTGGGGGCCACCATCTTTCTTCACCTCCCCTGCCCAGCCCCAAGCTCAGCCTTGGTGCCTACTGTCTGCCCGGTCTTGCCTTCCTGCCCCAGCCCTGCACCCCATGGACATTTCCCTCCCTCGCTCCCCGATCTCTCTCATATGGCCCCATTCTGGTTCTCAGAGCTCCACCCTAGCGCTAGGGTATGGTGGGACCCAGGGAGTGACCATTTCAGCTGGGCCCTTTCTTTGGCCATAGGGATTGAGTGGGTTCATGGATGAGCACAATCCTAAACTGACTCCATCAATAGGAATCAGCAACCCTGCTAGAAATCTAGGACCCAAATGCTTGGGCTTTTCCTCAATGACAGTAAAGGAGGATATATTCCTAAAGCCACACGGCACTGTAGGGGGCCCAAGATTGACACAGAAGGGAGAGATGGATCTTTCCTGAGTTCAGAATCAACCTGTCCCTGAGGACCCAATGCTGGACTTGGGTTTTGAACCTTCAGTCCTCTTTGTCACTTGCTATGAAGAGTCTCAGTGGACATAGCTGTCAACCCAGACGTACCATCTCCTTGGAGGGCGGCTCTGTGAACCAGCTCACGGTGCACACAATGATCAGGGTGGCCGTGGACAAGATCATGGAGAAGTAGAGGTAGTGGACGTCCTTCACGACTGCAGGGCGCTCATCGGGTTGATCACACAGCGGCTGCACGTAAATAAAGTCTAGGACCAGCCTGATCAAGCCTAGGAGCAGGCCCAAGATCAGGCCTGAGAAGGCACCCTGCAAAACAGAGCACATCACGGGCTCGGGCCTCCGGGAACCTCAAGAAGCCAATCAGGAACTCGTCTCCCCCTTTTTTTTTTTCCTTTTTTAACCCAAGATTAAAACCAGAGGCACTTAACCACTGAGCCACATCCCCAGCCCTTTTTTTGGATTTTATTTAGAGACAGGGCCTTGCTAAACTGCTTGAGGCTATCTTTGAACTCGTAATCCTCCTGCCTCAGCCTCCCAAGCTGCTGGGATCACAATCATCCTCCACCATGGCCAGCAAGGAACTTGTCTTTCTTTCAATGATCACCACATGAATCAGCAATTTGGAAAGGCTTGGATCTACATATCTGTTTATCTTTGACAAATACAGTCATGCCTTGCTCAAGGGATTTGTTCCAGCAGCCGCAATGGATACCAGAATCATGGATGCTCAAGCGTCTTCTATAATAAGGTCCAGTGGTTCATGTAACCCACACATATTGTCCTGAATCCTTTATTTATTTATTTGGTACCAGGGATTGAACCCAGGGCCATTTAACCGCTGAGCCACATCCCCAGCCCTTTAAAAAATATATATTTTATTTAGAGACATGATCTCCTTAAGTTGCTTAAGGCCTCACTAAGTTGCTGAGGCTGTCTTCCTGCCTCAGCCTCCCGAGCTGCTGGGATTACAGGCCTGCACCACTGCGCCCGGCCCCCTTTCCTTTCTTCAAAGACCAGGTAACGCCCTCCCTGCGACTTCCTCCGCAGAGCTCACTCTCTCTAATGACACCAAGTCCAGCCCATGCTTGGGTCTCCCTAGACCCCTGCCACCGTCTTCTCCCAGTCCTCCAGGGCAGCCCTCGGCTCTTGCATGGTGCGGCTGCCACAGAGCTACCTTTTCGTTGGCCCGCCTCCAGAAGCAGCCCAGGATGAAGACTACGGCCACCGGCGGCTGCAGGTAGGAGCTGATGGACTGGATGTAGATGAACAGCTGGCCGCCCTGGCTGGCCTGGACCGCGGGGATCCACAGGATAGACACCAACACCAGCAGAACGACAAACACCCTGGGGCAGAGGGAGAGAGACCCAGGGAGTGTCATCTCCCCTGAACATGGACTTCAGTTTTGTTGAGGTACAAATCACATAACCATAAAATTCGTCCCCCATAACTGTACAGTCCAATAACTCTTAGTAGGTTTGTAGAGTCGAACCACCATCACTACAATTGACATTTAGAACATCCGTCACGTCAAAAGGCCCCCTCGGCCCACTGACAGCTTCTTCCTGCGCTGAGCCTACGCAACCACTTACAGGTGCTCTGTCTCTGCAGGTGGCTTTTGGGGGACGTTTGCCCTAAATGGCATCACCTGGGATGTGGTCTTTTGCAGCTAGCTTCTTTGGTTAAGTATGTCTGTTACAGCACGTCCCTGTTGGAACATGTATCACTATTTGATTTCTTGAGATCCTCCTGCCTCATCCTCCCCAGCCACTGGGATTACAGGTGGTGCACCACTGCACCCAGCTATTTCGTTTTCTATTGTAGTTGAAAACATTCCACTGTCCTGGGTCTGCCATTCCCTGTCATGGATTATCCTTTGCCAGTTGATAGATACTTGGATTGTTTCTCTTTTTTGGTGGGGGTTATGCTTTGTGAAATGCATATATCAGTCTCTGTAGAGACACATGTTTTCATTTCTAGAAATGCATATTGCTGGGTCACACGTTAAGTGTATGTTTAACATTTGCAGGAAACTGACCATCTGCTTTGGAGCACTTGAACCATTGGATTTTCCCACCCACAGGCTCTAAGAGTTCCCGTTTCTCTTCTTTCGTGTGTGTCTTTTTGATGAGAGGCGGTGTAGTGGTTTCTCACTGCAGTTTTAATTTGCATTTTTCTCATGATGAATGATGTGGAACATCTTTTCATGGGATGATTAGCCATTTTTAAATTTTTAAATTTTTGTACGAGGGATTGAACTCAGGGGCACTTGACCACTGAGCCACATCCCCAGCCCTATTTTGTATTTTATTTAGAGACAGAGTCTCACTGAATTGCTTAGGGCCTCACTTGTGCTGAGGCTGGCTTTGAACTCGTGATCCTCCTGCCTCAGCCTCCCAAGCTGCTGGGATTGTAGGTGTGCATCACCTCACCCGGCTTTATTAGCCATTTCTATAGCTTCCTTGCTGAAACGTCTAGTCGAGTCTTTTGGCTTAAGAGTCCTTCCTATATTCTAGATTATGAATGCTTCATAAGAAGTGAAAATGCTTTCAATTCGGATGAAGTTCAATGTGTTTTTTTTTTCTCTGTTTCCTACAGAAGGTTCTTGGTTGTCACATCTAAGAACTCTTCCTAACCCAAGGCTGAAGAGCCTTCAGGGTGCATCTCCTTGAGTGACAGAGCCTCCAAGGAGCTTATTTACATGTATTTTACATAAAATTTACATGCCACCCATTTCAGCTCCTCCCATTAGACATCAGGACTTTGCAGGAGATTTGGGTGTAGAACTCTTTATCCAATCCTCCAGAATAGCCCCTTCCCTTCTACCTGGATACTCCTATCAGGGCCCTCCCCCCTGACCCCCACCCTCCCGACTCCCCACGTAGAGTTATCATTGTTCCTCGATTTCTCCTCCTCTTCCTCTTCCCTTCCTCCTCCTCTGGCTCCATGATGGCAAGAATTATGTCTTTTCAATGCTGTATGCCAGTTCCTGGTACATAGTAGGTGCTCATTGAACGTCTCTTGAATGAACAACCTACCAATCACCCATGGCATCTGCAGAGGACACTGAGCCAGCCTGGGTACACTGTTGGTGGGACTGTGCCCATGGGTGGGCTCAGCTCTCTTCTCCCTGACTCTTCACCCTCCCGCCCAGCCCCATGCCGGAAGACCTTACCTGCCCACAATCATGAGCTCCTTCTCAGAGGCCCGTGGCCGGATGTGATTCCACAGATCCATGGTGAAGATGGTGCTGGCACTGTTAAAGATGGAGGTGAGGGAGGACATGAGAGCCGCCACCATCACAGCCATCATGAGCCCACGCAGGCCTAGGGCAGAAGGGAGGTCTGTGGGCCTCGGGCTTCCTGTCAACGGCTTCTGCCTTCACTTGTGACTCTGGTACCCCAGGCCCAAAGCCAGCTGATCCCAGTAGGCAGAACCTCAGACAGGACAGCTGGGCCGAGCTCCTGGTTATGCAGGACCTCAGCATTTCGTGGGGCTGAGGGGGACCCCTAGATCTGGGGCTCAGCCGCTGAGCCCAGAGCCTATCCCTGTCTACAAGGCTCCCATCGTGTCCCTACCTCAGATCAGAACCCATCCCTGCTCTCCCTGCTGGGTCCTCCAGGGGGCTCCATGTAGGGCTGAGGAGGGGACATTACCTGTGGGCAGGAGCTCCAACACCAGCTTGGGGTAGGCGATGTCGGAGCAGCCGGAGGGGTTGCTGCAGACTTTCTGGCAGATTTCTGGATGTGCACAAGCCACTTGATCTGCAGAGGAAGCCCAGGACCCAGAGTTGAGCAGAGAGACCCTCAATGTCCCAGGCCTGGCCACAGTGTGGCCTGACACAGGCCAGCACCAGGAGACAGGTTTAGTGCACTTGAGTCCCTAGCTCAGGGACATAGAAAGGGGCCTAGACTTTGTAGGCTGTGACCTTGTCACTTAACCTTTCCCAACTTTAGTTGCTGTATCTAGAGAACTGGGAAAACAACACTTTATAACATTATCATGAGAATAGGCTGAGATGATCCCGAGAAAGCACTCAGCACGGATCTGATACGCAGGAAATGCAGAGAAGCCCTGGTTCTTATTGTATCCCACAGAAAACCGAGACACTGTGTGGCCATTCTGACCACCGTATCCTGGATCAGGATCCATCCCCGCCCCCCTCCCCCCCCATGCCGGAGGAGACAGAGGCAATTTCCATCTGTACTGAAGTTTGTCACTGCCTGATACATGTCAACCACACCTTGTTCATTTCTTTTTTGTACTGGGAATTGAACCCACGGAGCTACATCCCCAGTTCTTTTGAGACGTGGTCTTGTTAAATTGCCCAGGCTGGCCTCGAACTTGTGTCCTCCTATCTCAGCCTCCCAAGACTCTGGAATTCAGACATGAACCTCTACAATCCACTGGCAAACACAGTTTAAATTCCTCTTTCCCTTGTCTTCTCGACAGCTCATAGAGTTCAATGGCTACTCCTTATTTTAAACTGGGATCTCCACCATGAGAGCTCTGTCTCTCTGTGTGTCTGCAGCACTAGAGATTGAACCCTGGGCTTTATGCATGCTAGACAAGCATTCTACCACGGAGCCGCACGCTCAGCCCGTATTTCTAGACTTTTCTATGGGTTCTTTTGAACAAGTCCTTAACAAGACTCCTAAAGCACAAGAAATAAAATCAAGAATCAATAAATGGGATGGAATCAAACTAATAACTCTCATAAAGAAGCCCAGGCCCTCCCTCGGCTTAATCCACAGTCCTTTCTCTTCATCCAGATGGGTGACACTGTGTTTCAGCCCATCTTTTCTGGTGAGTGGCACCTACCCCAATCCTCAGGCAGCCCTATACAGCTCCTGCCAATGTCCTCCCTGGTTCTGATGCAACAGCAAAGCCATGATGACCATCTGGCTGAGGTCTGAGTTTCACAAGTGTCCTCAAATGCACATGTTCAACAATATCTCTAGATAATACATTTCACTCCTGTATTTTTTATTTGCATTAAAAATGGTAATCAAGCCCGACACGGTGGCTCATGCCTGTCATCCAAGTGGCTTGGTGGGTGGGGGCTGAGGCAGGAGGATCCTGAGTTCAAAGCCAGCCTCAGCAACGGCGAGGCACTAAGCAACTCAGGGAGACCCTGTCTCTAAATAAAATTTTAACAAAGGGCTGGGGATGTGGCTCTGTGGTTGAGTGTCCCTGAGTTCAAAGCTTGGTACCAAAAAAAAAAAAGTTAATAAAAATGTAAGCGGGTAAAGTACATCACAGTTTTAAAATCCAGTATTATTGTATCTTCATTTTCTTTTGTTGATGAGCAGAAGATCTAAGGAATGGAACTAGCCCTTTCATCCATAGAGGGGCTCAAGGGCTTCTGGGTAATGTCTTCTCTCAATTGGGACCTTTCCTCCAATGACATTCACCAGTGGGAGAGAAAATGTGTGCTGAGGCCAGAATTAATACTACTAATAGCAATTACTTTGGAATAAAGTAGATTCCCCGCAAACTCAAAATTAAAGAAGGCAGACCAAGAAAGTCTGAGGAGCACTGGGAAGAACCACTCTCATTGAGATAAATGCTTTGAGGAGGTCAAAGTTCTCAAGTTTTTATTACTCTTCTGAGAAAACTTGGGAGAGGATAAGATAATATTTACCTTCCTATTCTCAGAATGCCATCAAGTGGGCCAAAGGTCTGGTTCAAGTTCAAACCTACACGAGTTCGCCTCTGTTATCTAAGAGGCCCCGTCTTCTAGCTAAGAGAGAAGGAGCAAGGGTCTCACTGTTCACTGAAAGTTTTCCTGTCTCCTGATAGAAGTGGATCCTTCAACCACGGGACACAGGACAGATGCAAAGTTTATAAGGCACATCTGTTGAAGACAATTGTGTGTGTTCCTTCAGCCTAAAAAAAAATGCTCATGAGGCTGGGACAGAGTTCAGCTGGTAGAGTGCTTGCCTCGCATGCACAAGGCCATGGGTTCAATCCCCAGCACCACACACACACACACACACACACTCAAATACAAAAGAAAGAAATATGCTCATGAGAGGGCAGGGGGTTCGTTCAGCTAAGTTATAAATGACATCAACAGCCTCCTGATCATTAGCGCCCATTCAGTAACATCCACTCACCTGTCAGTTTACCAACCACTTCATGGAGTGCGTTCTCTTAGAGAGCTCCAGACCCCCTGCTGCTTAAACTAAATGATGCCCCAGACAAAGTCAAATCCAAACAGGGCACAGACCCTCCTTTTCCCACAATGCAACATTCCTGGAAGGTTTGCTATGACTCAGACTCTACAATAAACACTGTGCACAGGCCTCCTAATTTTCACAACTCTGTGGGGAAGCTGTGGCTATTATCCTTATTTTAAAGACAAGGAAACTGGGGCTGGGGTTGCGGCTCAGTGGCAGAACGCTTGCCTTGCACGTGTGAGGCAAGTGTGAGGGATCGTATCTCATTTAACAATGATGGTTAATTGGCTGGTTGACTGCTAAGAGAGATGATCAGGGTCTCCTTATTGATCTTCCAGATCTCAAGTCAAGGCTCGTGGTGGGATTTCCATGTCTAAGAGTCAGTTTTGGAAGCAGATAGATGCCTTGGTTCAAATCCTGGTTCACCCAGTAACTACTTCAGCAAACCAGGTAACCGAGGGTACGAGCCTGGATTCCTGCTTGTCTCCTCAACCCTCACATTCAACCCATCATTAATCTCATGGACCCCACTAGAAAATACATTTTCAAACCTATTGCTTGGACCGACTATGGTGTCCTTAGATGGACACTGTCAAAGGCAGCTCTGTCTGGCCTTCTCTCCACGTCTTCATGTGTTTTCCCCCAGCACTTAGCACCACCAGTGACTCTCTCGCTTATGTGTCAATCAACCAATGTGTTTACTTATCTGTCTCTTCCAGTGCCACAATCTAAGTCCCACTAGAAGGACACTCTGGTTCACTTAGGTGTCCTCAGGGTACTAGATGAAGGCCCAGCAGATAATTGGCTCTCAAACTATTTGCTGGATCAATGGAAGAAGAGCTAGATGAGCGAATCAATAACTTCCTCTGGATTTCAATTTCCTCATCTGTAAGATGGGAAGGGCAGTCATAGCACTGACTTCACAGTGTCCTTTTGAGGATGAAGTTAAGCAATGCAGTGGTTCCTTGGTGTCGGGGGGGACTGGTTTCAGGACCCCCTGTGGATGCCAAATCAGCAGGTGCTCAGTTCCTCTATAAAACGATGTAGTGTTTATATGTCACCTAGGCACGCCCTCTTGTTTACTTTAAATCACTCTAGATTACTTATAATGCCTGATGCAACATAAATATTGTTATACTGTATTGTTTAGGGAATAATAATAAGAAAAGAAAATATGTACATGTTCAGGATAGATGTGATTTAATTTATTATTATTATTATTATTATTATTATTATTATTATTATTATTTTGGTACTTGGGATTGATCCCAGGGGCACTTAATCACTGAGCCATATTCCCAGCCCTTTTTATTTTTTGAGACAGAGTCTTGCTAAGTTGCTTAGAGCCTTGCTAAGTTGTTGAGGCTGGTTTTGAACTTGCCATCCTCCTGTCTTGGCCTCCTGAGTTGCTGGGATTACAGGGGCACACCACCACATCTGACTAAAGTATTTTTGAACTGCAGTTGATGGAATTCATATTTATGGAATTCAGATATATGGAGAGCCAAGGATGCATGAATAAAATAGCAACTGGGAGAATTTACAAAGTGTCTCAGTCAGTCTCGTGTCACTATAACAAAACACCAGACACAAGCTACTTATGAGCTAAAGAGAGGTTTATTTTGGCTCATGGATCTGGAAGATGGGGTGGCCCCATTAGTCTGGGCTTCTAGTGAAAGCAGCAGATCTTAACAGGAGCATGGAGTAGAGCAAATGCTATGTCTTGAGCCAGGAAGGAGATAGAAAGTGAGAGAGTGAGAGTGAGAGTGAGAGAGAGAGAGAGAGAGAGAAATTGGGTCTTATAATCCCTCTCAAGGGCACCCCTCCAATGACCTTAGAACTTTCCACTGAGTCCCACAAGGTCTACAGTGCCTGTCTTTACTGCCCTCTGGAGACTAAGCCTTTGCATATGGATCTTTGGGGACATTCACTCAAAGCACAATATATCATGCTTGCCTTGTGTCAGGACCTGCTTCAAACCCGATAAAGTATCATTATCCCCATTTTACAAGTGAGGATACCACCAGGCGTGGTGGTGCGCACCTACAATCCCAGCAGCTCTGGAGGCTGAGGAAGGAGGATCACAAGTTTGAGGTCAGCCTCAGCAACTTAGCAAGGCCCTAAGCAAGTTAGTAAGATCCTGTTTCAAAATAAAATATAAAAAGGGCTGGGGATGAGGCTCAGTGGTTAAATGCCCCTGGGTTCAATCCTTGGTACAAACCCCCAAAACAAACAAACAAACAAACAAAAAACCAAGCGAGCAAACAGAGGCCAGGGGAGTTGAAATGACTTATACAGAGTCATACAGCTCGTAAGTAGCAGAGCCAAGACTCAGGCCTGGGCGGTCCAGATCAGAGTCAGTCCCCATGACCACCACACTCTACTCAAGACTGCACGGGTCTGGCCCCTAGCAAGCGCACCGTGAACGTTGCTTATGGCCACGTTGTTTGTTCACACCTCAAGCCTTGCTCGACAGCTGTGTGTTTTCCAACAAGGTACCACAAACCCCAAGATTGCACTTCTTGTCTCCCTGAAGGTTCTTCCAAGCCTGAGCCCCCTTGTCTAGAGGCAGGGCCACTTACAGCTCCTCTGGGCTGAGAAGCCGGAGCCCAGAGTTTAGTACCATGGACAGTACCCCGGACAGTACCCCAACTTCCCTTCCCTGGCTCTTTCCTCCTGATATAGTAAGAGCCCTAAACTCCTTGGACTAAACTGGGCCAACTGCAGACCATCCTGCCCTCCCTTTCTTTAACACCATGAGGATAAGGCCAGGGCAGGACACGTTCCACTGTCCACTCCCCTGTGAGTTAATAACAGCCTTGATTGGGGGCAAGGATGGGAGCTTTCTTCTGTACGGGTCCCGGCTCCTGACACCATGTGGTGTCCAATGACGTCGCCTACTACAGCGTTGTTATCCCCATCATACAAACCTATCCCATTGCCACAAAAATAAACTAAGTGCTGTGCTCCAGAGACCCTGATGTCCTCTGATATTTGTCAAGAAAAATACAAATAAAAATGATCCCACGGGCTGAGGTTGCCGCTCAGTGGCAGAGCGCCTGCCTGGCACGTGTGAGCCCCTGGGTCCGATCCTCAGCACCACACAAAAATAAATAAATAGAATAAAGGTACTGTGTCCATCCACAATAAATTTTTAAAAAATGGTCCCATTGGTCCACAGTCACCAAACTCCTGAGCTCCAACACCAAAGCTTGAGAGGAACTTTCCCATGGGACATCAGAAACTGACATCTGCAAATGTACCATTTTAGCTCAACTGTGATATAAAAATATAGTTGACAAAGACTCCTCGACCCCCTCCCCATTGAATTTTCACTGAATGTGGCTTGGGACACCTATTGGATTTGTGCATTGAGCCCACACTGAGGAACAGCATGAGGTCAGCAGGTGCCCAGGACCCCTGCCACATTGTCTTGGGGGCCAGCAGCTGTTTAGAACACCCTGCAGGGTCCCAGACTCACAGACGGGGGCCTCCTCTCCCAGCCGTCTCCTCACCTGGAAAGAGGATGCGGCTCACCATGCCAGGGAACACCATTATGAACAGGGGAAGCACCTTCAGGTACGCGGCCAGCAGGGATCCTCCTTTGGCATGGGACAGGTTCCTGGCAGCCAGGGTCCGCTGAACAATCACCTGGAAAAGAGGAGGATGGGTGCGTTGGTCCTCGGCAGGTGCGGTAGGTCTTGGTTTGCCTTGTGTGAAGAAGTACCTCTTGTCCGCCTCTGGTCTCCCTGGGCAAGCTGACTCCTCTGCCCTCTCGCTCTCCTTCCATCTAGAGGCGCCAGGTCTGGTTTACTGTATGAACTCTGGAGATGGACACAGCCTGGGTTCTAATCCTGCCACCCCACTTCCTGGCTGCGTGACCCCGAGCAGACAAATTTATCTGTCTTTGCCTCAGTTTTCTCACCTATAAATTGGGGATAATACTAGGGCAGTTTTGACAAGTGAATGAAGCAAAAGGGTTTAGCATACTTAAGATGGTGTCCAGCGCATAGTAACTGCCCCATAAAAATCAGTGGCTGTTATCCACCTCTAGTCTCTCAGATATGTGAATTTCTAGAAATGTCCTTTTAAGGGACTTAAAAACAGCCTACTACAGGGACACAGCCACATCAATGTTTATAGCAGCACAATTCATAATAGCTAAACTGTGGAGCCAACCTAGATGCCCTTCAGTGGATGAATGGATAAAAAAAAATGTGGCATATATACACAATGGAATTTTACTCAGCAATAAAAGAGAATAAAATCATGGCATTTTCAGGTAAACGGATGGAGTTAGAAAAGATAATGCTAAGTGAAGTTAGCCAATCCCCAAAAAGCAAAGCCGAATGTTTTCTCTGATATAAGGGACTCATAGTGGGGTAGAGAGGGAGAGCATGGGAGGATTAGATGAACTCTAGATAGGGCAAAAGGGTGGGAGGGGAAGGGAGGGGGCAGGGGGTTAGCAAGGATGGTGGACTATGATGGACATCATTATCCAAAGTACATGTAGGAAGACACGAATTGGGTGTCAACATACTTTATATACAGAGATATGAAAAATTATGGTATATATGTACAATAAGAATTTTAATGCAAAAAAACAAGTACATGTATAAAGACATGAATTGGCATGAACATACTTTATACAAAGATATGAAAAATTGTGCTCTATACGTGCAATAGGAATTGTGATACATTCCACTGTCGTGTATTTAAAAAAATAAAATCAATTAAAAAGAGAGAGAGAGAGAGAGAGAAAAGAAATGTCCTTTTAAGTTTAAACTGCTATGTTTTCCTATGGATAACCAGAATTCTCACTAAATCAGCAAAGAATCCTTAATGGAAGAGCATCCAGAAGTAGAATTTGCCTTAAACCTCACATCACACCCCTAATAATTTTTCAGTACGTTTGGATGAATACCCAGGTGCGGGATTATTGCTTCCTTAAGGTGCCAAAGAGTCAGACAGGAAAGAGTTTCCCACTGGAGATCTGACATTATCACTGAAAAGAATTCAGGCCTCTCTTCCCATGAAGCGGTGTTTCCAAATATGAATTGAAGAGGGAGCTGGATCATTTTAAGAGTGAGCCACGTTGGGCTGGGGGTATAGCTCAGTTGGCAGAGTGCTTGCCTCGTGTGCACTAAGACCCTGGGTTCGATCCCCACCCAGAGGGTGTGGCCCTCCACAGGAACCCCCAGGCCCAAGTATTGGCCCCCATCTCTCTGAGAATGAGCTGAATACATAGGAGATGCTCAGCCAGTGACTGGCGTGTTGCTGGGGCATCCATAACATGTTCAAATGTCATTAACTCTCACCAGCTATGACTTTCCTTCTCCATTTCTGCCCAGGACAATCTGGAATATGCTCTCAGTGAATGCTGGGTGCTGAGCTGCCTTGCTCTCCCCTTCTGAAGGGGGCCTAGATGAAGGGTTGGGAGTGATGTGTATTTCCCACCCCCCACCCCAGCACACTGAGCCAGCACATCCTTTAGACTCTGTGGAATCTGGCTCAGCAGAAACCCCTCGTGGTCAACCAGAGTCAAAGGGGAGAGGGTTTTAAAAGATGAGCGTTTTGAAAGATCAGATCCTCTTGCGCTAAGTCCTAAGGTTCTTGCATTACATGGGATGGAGGAGCCTTCAAGGGCTACGAGTTGGAATAAGAGTTTGCAAACTAAAGTAATGATTTGTACAAATTAATAAATACAAGTTGGTGAGCTGTGCCCCAAACAGTAACCTAAGCCAGAGGACGAATGTCAATGTTGCCAATGGTGCATTTACCATCCCTGTAACGAGACTGAAAAAAATTTTTTCATGCATCTCTATTTTGTAACGATTAGGAGCTCCATTTGACATGTGAGAAAATAAGGCTCAGAGATGTGAAATGGCATCTCCTGAACCTGACCATGGACTTCACCTGGATCCATACCTTGTCTCAGGAACTCTCCTACCTGAGACTGGCTAAGGTGGAGAAGGAGGCTTTCTTAAAGGGGCAGCATATGTACGTGGCACACACGATGGCCTCGAGCTCAGCTCTTCATGCACAGAAGCCCAGGGGTGGGACCTGGGCTTCATTCTCTGGAATGTCTCCTGCCTCGGTTCAATTGTCCAACCCAAGATCATCGCTTTAATTAAATTCTCATCAGGCTGGGCGCAGTGGTGCACACCTATCATCCCAGCAGCTAGGGAGGCTGAGGCAGGAGGATTGCTGATAGACCTAACCTGATCTTTTCTTAAAATTGGGCATCTCGCCACAAAGCCATGAAAAGATAATTTCGGCTTTACTATAAATTACTGCAAATTCTGAACCTGCTTGGAATGCCTGCCCTGCCTTGAACTCACCCATGCCTGGTTCTCTGACCAGAGAGCAGCCCTCTCTGAAACTTTAGTGACGCCTCACAAATCTTGGCCTTCCCTGGCCAGATGACAACCCTCTCTGAGGCTCTAATGGTCCTCATAAATTCTGATATTGGGGCCAGCAAAAAAATGTAAACTACCATTAGTGTGATGCTTGTCAGAGTTCTGTTATCTGTAACCCACCTTTTGTGTAACTTTCTGGGCTATAAAGCTGGGCTGAAGGAAAGCTGGGGTGCTGTCTTGTTACCGCCGTTTTGGGAGGGAGAGGCAGCCCGGCCGGTCGAAATAATAAGCTTGCTTTAATTTGATTTTAATTGGAGTCAGTGGTCTTTTCTTGCATCCTGGTCTAACAGATTGCCAGTTCAAAGCCAGCCTCAGCAAAAGCGAGGCTCTAAGCAACTCAGTGAGACCCTGTCTCTAAATAAAATACAAAAGAGGGCTGGGGATGGGGCTCAGTGGTTGGGTGCCCTGAGTTCAATCCCTGGTACCTGCCCCCCCCAAATTTTCTCATCAGCCCTGACTATGCAAAAGAGCTTCCAAAATGGTACACAGATCTGTGATCTTTAGTGTAACAGGAAAGCACCCTATTTGATCGGGTGATAATTCACTGATTTAAATCAGAGCAGGGAAAGGGTCCCATCCACCCCTGCTGGTCTCCTTCATCTCCCCACCCTTGGGTTTCAGGTCCACCCAGAGTTTCTCTGCGTACCCACAAGCAAATGCAAACTGACTCTCTTCTGCCTGCTTATCATCCTGTAATGTCTTCTAATTTTCTTGTTTATTTTTTCTCACCAGTTACATGTTGGCCTTAAGACCTTTGCTCTGGCGGTACCCCCTGCTGCAAATGCTTTCTCCAAAGTTATGGAACACTTGCTCTCCTCCTTCAAAGGAGCGCAGAGCAAAGACTCCTCAAAAATTAAAAATAGAACCGCCACCTGATCCAGCAATGTCACCCCGGGGGTATACATGCAAAGAGCATGAAATCAGCATAATAAAGGGACATCTGCATTCCCCTGTTTAATGCAGCACAATTCACAATAGCCATGGTATGGAGCAAACCTACGTGGAGATGAAGGGGCAAAGAAAATGTGGTACATACACACGGTGAAATACTATGTATCGATAAAAAAGAATGCTTTCATTTATGGCAACAGGGATGGGTTTAAAGATTATGTTTAGTAGACAAGCCAGGCACAGAAAGACAAATACCATGTGATTTCATTCATATGTGGAATCTGGCAAAACTGAGCTCATAAAGAGTAGAAGAGTGGTTACCAGAGGTTGGGGAGGGCCAGGGGGAGAGATGGGAGGGGATGGGTTAATGGATACAAAACTACAGCTGGAGGGCATGGTGGTGCATGCCTGTAATCCCAGTGACTTGGGAGGCTGAGGCTGGAGGATCACAAGATTGAGGCCAACCTCAACAACTTAGTGAGGCCCTAAGTGATTTAGAGAGACCCTAATAATTGAAAAATGGAAAAAAAAAAGAGGGCTGGGGATGTGGCTCAGTGGTTAAGAGTTGATCATCACACAAAGTATAAATGTACCAAAATATCACATTGTATCCTCCAAAGACATGTAAGTATCTAACAACTAAAAATAAATAAATCTAAATTTAAAAATAGAGTAAAATTCCCTCAAAAGTCTTGCTCAAGGTCACTCCCCCTCACTGTATTCTTGATTTTTCTTCTTCTTCTTCTTTTGGTAGCAGGGATTGAACCCAAGGGCACTTCACCCGGAGCCACATCCTCAGCCCCTTTTATTTTTTTTATTTTGAGACAGGGTCTCATTAGGTTGCTTATAGCCTCGCTAAGTTGCTGAGGCTAGCTTTGAACCTGCGATCCTCCTGCCTCAGCCTCCTGAGCAGTCTCCTGAGCAGCTGGGATTACAGGCACACACCGCCCTGCTCTTCCCAGGCACTTGAACAGGATCGATTGGCAAAGATCAGCAGCTCTGGATCTGCCATTAGCACCAGGAAGAGCAAAAAGCAAAATAACACGGAGATTTGTTTAATTTAACACGCAGAAAGGAAGGAAGTCGTCAAGGAGCTGGGGAAACAGATGAGTGAACAGAGAGTGGGAAAGGAAAAGGCCAATGTCAGCCACCCCGTCATCACCCTGGGGGAAGAGGAGTCTGGGGGGAGCTCACTCAGCCAGCTGCCCTGTACCTGATCCGTGCACCAGTACCAGAGGGATGGGATGGACATTCCAAACAGGATCCCCGGCCACGGGAGATCAGACGTCACTGGATCTCGGAAGATATGGAAGGCGTCTTCCCGGGGCAGCCCGCAGCTGCTGTTCTCGCTCCGGTTGCTAGCCAGGGCCGAGAAGTACTTCTCCTTCAGCCCGTCCATCCCGCCAACCGCAGCAAAACCTACAGCAGAGAGGAAATCTCAGTTACCCAGGAAATCAGACAGGTCCACATCCACTGGTAAGGGGACAGATGGGGCTGGATGACGTCCTCGTGGGAGCAGAGCTACCAAAAAATGTCACCCCTTAAGGTTTCTGAACCTCTTTTCTTTTTTTATGCCTTTGTTAATGACTGTGCATCGCTTCTCAGAATAATATATCTAAATGCACAATACAAAGCAGACATTGAAAAGAAAACAGAGGGCAATCTTTAAAATATAGAAATGATTCAGGGCATATCCCCCAATAGGAAGTAAGAGGTAACTGTGTCTAGTAATGACTTAGTTCAGGAGGATGAGCAGTCAAACACTATTTGAAGATATCAGCAGTGGCCGTCATGTCACAAAAGCATCAGGGATATCGGTTGGTATCAGAGTCAAAGATGTTGCTAAGACGACTGTGGTCTGTGTCCTACCCTTATAATTGGAAATGGCAAATTGCAATGATAGATTTAGGAAAATCAAGATTTTTTTCCCCCCCCCAGGATCACAGGTACCCTCAATTTGGTCCATGGGTCCCAGGTTAAGAAACCCGGCCCTCAGAAAATGTTCTTTTGACTTTGAATCTTCTCGGCTGTTCTCGATTCGCGGATTCAAGGAGTGGGCCAAGAAAATGGAGGATCTTGAGCAAGTCACATCCTGTCTCTGAGGTTCAGTCTCCTTTTCTGCTTGTGGGCACGGTGAAGCCACAATCTCTATCGTGGGGCAAGGACGCGTGTGATAATGCACATAAAATACTTGGCACAGAAAACTGAGCTGTTCCTGAAAACAGACTATGGTCTTCTGCAGCTGATTTTATTTATTGAAAGAATTCAAGATTGCTCTCTCTGGATCACATTCTGCTTTCTGAAAGGTCTTTTTCCTACTGCTGGGGACTGAAGGCATGGGTAGTCTATCTGTGAACTGTATCCCCAGTCCTTTTTACTTTTTTATTTTGAGACACAGTCTAAGTTGCCAAGGCTGGCCACAAAGTTGCAATCCTCCTGCCTCAGCCTCTCCGGTCACTGGGATTAGTGTGCACCATCTATGTAACCCAGCTATTTTGTTTTTTAACATGGAGGAGAGCAGATTGGTGTAACCACTTGGGTCAGAATAACATGTAACCAGCATTCTGTCCCATCTTTACTGAGGATTGTGGTGAACAGTGGATACTGAGATAAAAAACAAACCGTTATCTTTTTGGAGACAGGGGATTGAACCCAGGGGTGTTTAACCACTGAGCCACATCCCAAGCCCTTTCTATTTTTTGAGACAGGTTCTCACTAAGTTGTTCAGGGCCTTGCTAAGTTGCTGAGGCTGGCTTTGAACATGTGATCCTCCTGCCTCAGCCTCCCGAGTTGCTGGGATTTTAGGGGTGCACCACCAATGCCCGGCAAAACTGTTATCTTGATGGTCAATTGACCCACTTTATTTCCCCGAGAAATCATCCTTTTTATTATTTTTGACACATAATAATTATACCTATTTATGGGGCACAGTATGCTATTTCTTTTTTTGTGTGTGTGTGTGGGGGAGCTGTGGTATTGGCAATTGAACTCAGGGGCACTGGACCACTGAGCCACATCCCCAGCCCATTTTTGCATTTTATTTAGAGACAGAGTTTCACGGAGTTGCTTAGTGCCTCACTTTTGCTGAGGCTGGCTTTGAACTCACGATCCTCCTGCCTCAGCCACCTGAGCCCCTGGGATTACATGGCTGGCCACCATGCCCAGCTCAGTGTAATATTTCTGAATACACTTATGTAAATACATAATGTGTAATGATCAAATTAGGGTAATCTGTATATCCATCAAGTCAAACATTTACTATTTCTTTGTATCAGGAGCTTGGATGGGGAAAAATATATATTTTCATAAATCTATACGTCATCCCAGTAGGATCAGAAAAAGGAACTTCCAAAATCCTTTCTTCCAGCTATTTTGAAATATACAATAAATTATTACAAACTATAATCACACTGAAAAATTACTTTGTTGGGGGCTGGGGTTGTGGCTCAGGGGTAGAGTGCTTGCCTCACACGTGTGAGGCTTTAGGTACGATCTTCAGCTCCACATAAAATGAATACACAAAAATAAAGGTATTTATCCATCTACAACTAAAAAAAGAATTTTTTTAAATGACTTTGTGGTATTGATGAGTTTGATTTTGGTCCATATCTGGGCCCACCCATATGGGTGAACTTCATCTATCATATGGATAGTTGAGTAAAGAATTATCTGAGAAGAGGTGAAACTGGAGTAGGCCGGTACTTCATGAGCTTTAATGTGCATATGAATCACCTGGAAATTATTAGATTCTGATTCAGCAGGTCTGGGGCAGGGGCGGTGCCCAGGATTCTGGCTTGCTCATGAGTTCCCCTGTGATGCTAAGGTTGCTAAGCAACCGTTCATGGATCCCATACACTGAACAGCCCCGATGTAGGAGTTAGCCAGGTACCAAATAAAATCCAGAGTTTTCTTAGAATGAATGAAAGTGAATGATTTTGAACAGTCTTGATTTACTACACAATTTTTTAAGTCAGGTTTTCAGTTTTTCATATTTTTCCCCCCTAGGTAACCTGTAATGCTATCATCAGCAGATAATAATTTTTTTTCTTTCTTTTTAATATGTATATCTTATATGTTTCATTTTGTAGAGTTTATAAGGTAGCATCCTTTTTATCTGATTTTACTGAGATAACTTCTAGTGTTAAGCAAAGGTTTGAATTTCTTCTTTAGATATTGAACTATTAAGTCTCCTAGTTTCTCTTGAGTCAAATTTAGTAATTCATACTTTCCTGGAAAAGCATGAATTTAAACTGATTTTTTATGTTTATTGTCATAAAGCTGTGAGTAGTGTAGCCTGATAATTTAATGTACTTCCTTTGGGTATTTAGTTCTTTTCCTCATTCCTAATATATTGCATTTATTTTTTCTTCTTTTTCATTGATTTGATTTGCCCCCATAGTTCATTGTTCTTTTCAATGAAATCAGATGCTGGAGTAACACATTTTGTAGTTTTCTCAATTCTAATTCATTCAATTGGGCTTTCATATTGATGGATACAAATGTTTTTACAGCTGAGAGCCATGGTGCACACCTGTAATCCCAGTGGCTCTGGAGGCTGAGGCAGGAGGATCGCAAGTTCAAGGCCAACCTCAGCAACTTAGGCCCCAAGCAACTTAGCAAGACCCTGTATTTCAGTCAGCTCTTTTGTGGCTGTAGCTAAAGGATCTGATCAGAACAACTGTAGAGGGGGAAAGGTTTATTTGAGGGCTCCTGGTTTCAGAGGTCTTAGTCCACAGAAGGCTGGCTTCATTCCTCAGGGCGTGAGGTGACACTGAATGTCACGGCAGAGTGTGTGACAGAGGGAAGCAGCTCACAGGACCAGCAGGAAGCGGAGAGAGACTCCACTCTCCAGATAAAATATGTACACCAAAGCCGCGCCCCAATTCCCACACCCCACCTCTTCATTACCCTCAGTTAATCCCTATCAGGGGACTCCTCTGAACCTTCTCGCATTGTCTCACACATGAGCTTTTGGGGACACCTCACCTCCAAACCATAACACTGTCTCTAAATAAAAAATAAAAAGAGTTGGAGATGTGGCTCAGTGGTTAAGCACCCTGATTTAACTCCTGGTACAAAAAAAAAAAAAGTTTTTACCGTATAGTGTTTAACTTCCTCTATTAAGTATGAAATGAGATGTTCTTATCATTTTTTCTGAATGATTCATAATTGTATATTTTTTTATTTTTGAATCTGGGAGTCTCACATTTGTGAAATCCTCTTCCTCAGTCCCCCAAGTTTTGGGGACCACAGATGCATACCACACATTATTTGGGAGATGGCTTTAAAATTCTAAGTAATTAGACTGAAAATCAATTTAAACTCATAGTTATGAGTTTAATTGGTTTTGGTTTGTTTTACCTGGGTACGGTAATAGAATAATGTTAGCATGAGTATTTTTGCAAAATTTTAATATTTTTTTCCATGATTGAATTTTCTAGATGTTTCTGAGGATGCTAGGGAAAACTATGATGCTAATGTTTATTTAAATTTTTTTTACTTCTAAATATTTTTGTTTTGGCTTCTTCTTGTGTCATGTGTTAAAATATTTCCATACTACTTAGTTTTCTGTCAGCTTCATTCTGACGAGTTTTGCTTTTGTGTATCTTGCTGCAATGTTATTTACACACACAGATTATATCTTCGCTGTCAATTTCCTATTTTGAATCTAAAAGATATTTCCCTCTGTGGAATCCTCTTTGCCTTATGTTATGCTTATTTTTACACATGCCACTTGCAAATTATAGCAACGGAGTTTTTTTTTTTTCCACTCATACTAGAAATATTGAGTTTTGTGGAGGAAATAAACAATACGTAGCTGAGTAAAAGAATAATAACAGCACAACACCGTAAACCCTCCACAGAGTTGATCATTGCAGTCAGTAGAGACTTTTATCTGATTTTCTTGGATTGAAACAGGTAATGCTTTGCATCCTATTTAATTTTTTTACTTTTGGTTGTGATTCTTTGTTATTTACCTTTTAAGGAAAAAAAAACTTTAAGCATATATTCTCTATATAAAGGATAAGCGTATGATTAGCTTTTTGTCACTGAGACACAATGTCTGAGAAAAACAACTTTAAGAAGGAAAACTTTATTCTGGCTCATGGTGCCGGATGGTTGGCCCAGATCTACTGGCCTGAGGTGGGGCAGAGCATCATGGCAGCAGCGGGTGGTGGAGGAAAGCCGCTCAGCTCACAGCAGCTGGGGAGCAGAGAGAAGCTCTCTTTACAGTCTCCAAGAGCACACGTGTGCCCAAGGACTGGTCCTTCACCTAGGTCCCACTGTGATTCCCACAGCCTCCCAATAGTCCCTGCAGGTAAGAAGTCATTAGTGGATTAGCCCATTGATAAGATCAGTGCCCCTTGATCCAGTCACTTTCCAAAAGCCCCACAGCTGATCACCCCTGAACTGGGGACCAGGTAGGACAGACAGCCAGGGCTATCGTCTTACCTAACCACAGTACAGCTACCGAAAGGAAGAAGAAATCAGCATTTGCTATTGTCAATGTTAGAGTCCTCCCCTAAATCCGCATGTTGTAATCCTCATCTCCCCGGGATAATGGGGACTTTGGGATGTGATTAGGCTGTGAGGACAGATTCCTCATGAATGGGACCAGGGCCTTATAAAAGGGACCTCAGACAACTAGCTGCCCCGTCCACGTGGGAGGACACAGCAGAAGGTATGTGCTCATCAAACAGAATCTGCTGGCAGCTGGACTTTGGACTTCCCGGTCTCCAGCACTATGGGCAGTGTCTTGTCATATATGACGGCATATTTTGTTTATGTTTATTTGTTTGTATTTATTTGTTTATATCTAATTTGTTATATATGATGGCAGAGTGCATCATAATTCACCTTACACCTACAGAGCACACTTTTCCAGCTAAGATGCATGTATTTTTTGGCAAGAATGGCACGGAGTTAGTCAGGTGCAGTGGCACATGCTTATAATCGCAGCTACTTGGGAGGCTGAGGCAGAAGGATCACAAGTTTGAGGCCAGCCTCTACAATTTAGTGACACGCTGTCTCAAAATTAAAAAAAAAAAATAATAAAAAAATGAAAAGGGCTGGGGATGTGGCTCAATAGTAGAGTGCTCCTAGATTCAATCCCCAGGAACAATACCACCAACAAAAGAATGGCACAGAGTTGATGTGCTGTGCTCAGGATCAGGAGGTACGTAGTACCAATATGTCTTATCCCTGCGGGTCTTAACCTTGATCACTTAGTTACGCTGGTGTGCGCCAGTTTCCTTCACTGTATACTGACTATTTTTCCTTTTGTAACTAACAACTATGCCAGGTGCAATATTTTTCTTTCTTTCTTTTTCCTTCTTTCTCACCAAGTTGCTGAGGCTGGCTTTGAACTTGTGATCCTCCTGCCTCAGCCTCCCGAGTCGCTGGGATTACAGGTGTGTGCCGCTGTGCCCAGCTCCGGTGCTGTACTTTAATATTCTGTGAATATCTATGTCTTCATGAACTTTCACCTGCTAACTGGACCACGGAGCCTGGATAATACCGGCAACAGTGATTACTCTGGTGAGCCAAGGGTGATTTTCTATTTCCTCCATCTCATCTATGTTGATCTATCAGAATTCCTCTGTAAGAAAGAGTCACCCTTTCATAGTTTTATCCATATCCACATAGGAAGGGATATTAATTTTTACTTAAAAAAACAAAACTAAACAGAAAAGGGCTGAGGCTGTGGCTCAGAGGTGGAGCGTTTGCCTGGCACATGTGAGACCCTAGCTTCGATCCTCAGCACCACATAAAAATAAATAAAATAAAGGTCTTGTGTCCATCTACAACTAAGAATATTTCTTTTTTAAATCCAGAAATTTCCATGATAACACAATCCTCTTTTATCCAAAATAACCCTGTCTCAGGCAAAGCCCCCATGACATCATAGTGTGCTGTCATCCCCCCCCCCCCCGAGTGACAGCAGGACCCACTTACTGTAGCCCATCAGGATGAGTGCGCCCAGGAGCATGATCACAGTCTGCAGAGTGTCCGTGTAGATCACCGCCGCCAGGCCACCTGGGGGGACGATCACTAGGTGAGGACCAGGTGCCCTGATGGGGAGGAGTTCCCCCAGGTCCCTGAGGGAACCCGGAAGGTCAAGAACTGACTGGAGACTTCCTAAGTCTGGCTGATTGCAAAGACGGTACCCTAACTCTTCCCGGTGTGCGTGCACATTCTGCGGTGGGAAGTTGCTGCTCCTTTTATGCGGAGGAGAAGATGGCCCTGTGACTTGCTCTGATCTTGCTAGAAGTGACACTGTGCGGCTCCAAGCCTGGCCCTACAGGAGCCCTGTGGCTTTGGTTCTCACTCTGCCCTGAGAGCAGCGGCTTTAGGCAGCCCAGTCTCACCTAGTGGAGGGTGGTGGCCATCTGGAGGGGCCGCCCAGCCGGCTGCCCCTGCTGCCCACCCCCCATGTGAGGGCCATCTTGGTCCCACCAGCCTTCAGGGTGCCGTCTAACTCCCCATCAGTGAAGGCAAGGCCAGCAGAGCGACCACCCAGGTGAGCCATGAAGGTGCAGGAAATGATAAGCCAGTTGGGGGAAGTCCCTGCAGGGTGGGTGTGTGTTGGCACAGCAGGAAGTGACCTCACACCACCCAGGAACTGATGCCTGCACCGCGGTCCCCAAGCTCTGAACAGCTTTATTTCTAACTTCGGGAAAGGGAGGTGAGGACCAGGCATTCAGAGACCCCTAGGCTTTCTGAACAGGGTCAAGGTGGTCTGCCTGAGAGGATTCCACTGCGCACTGCAAAGGCTAATCTGTGCAATGACGTCACGGTGGCAAGCCATCAGCACCTGTTCCTCACTCTGTCCTAGGGAAAGGACACTGCCTGGTTTGCACCTGTCTACTAGAGGGCAGGGTCGGTGTGTGATCCCCAAACCAACCCTGCGTGTGGGCGTGGCTTTCTCCCTGACTCCGCCTCCAGATCAGCAAAAGCCCAGCCCACTGACAAGTGGAGGAGGCTGGCTTCTGGCCTCCCTTTTCTGCTGCCCTCTGATGAATCCACCTGAACTTATTGAGAAACTAAAGTTTAGTGTCACTTAAACCCACCCTCATTTCTAGGAGGTTACTGTGAATTGAGCATTTGCGGTTTTTTTTTTTTTTTTTTTTTTGGTACCCGGGATGGAACTCAGGGGCACTTAACCACTGAGCCCCATCCTCAGCCCTTTTGATATTTTATTTAGAGACAGAGTGTCACTGAGTTGCTTAGGGCCGCATTAAGTTTCTGAGGCTGGCTTTGAACTTGTGATCCTCCTGCTTCAGCCTCCCGAGATGCTGGGGTTACAGACATGACCCACTGTGCCCGGCAAACATTTGCTATTTTATGCTTAGGATGTAAGTTCCTCTGGGGTAGAGATTTTTGTCTCTCTTGCTTATTTCTATGCCCTAATTCTTAGGATAATGTCCAGCACATAGTAGGTGTGAAAATCTTTCTTTTACACATCAGTTGTGTGTATGTGTGTGTGTACAGATGCACATTTGTGGAGTGAATTCTACTGTACCAGCAGGAAGCAGAGAAGGTGAAGCTGGAGCAGATGAGAAGGTAAACATTCAAAAACAGTCAAGGCCCTACTATGTGCTCGGCAACTTTCCTAGGACACACATCTGGGGGCAGGGAAGATAAAGCGGCCAATCTCAAGGCTCCAGAATTGCAAGAGTTAAATACCCAGCCTCGTATTCTGCATGTAAATACCCACACTCAGCACTTAGTAGGTCCTCAATAAATAGTTCTGGGGTTCGTGGAACAAAAACCAGTGTGTATGTTGCATTTAAAAAATTTTTTTTCTTAGTTGGCAACCCCCTTTCCTTAGGTCAGGGCCAAGATCCATCTTACGGGGGTGTGGAGTGAGGTTTCAGGGTCCCCACACCCTGGGACACCAGAAGCCCCTCCCACCTCTCCGGGCACCACCCCTTGCTCGGTCGAACCTGCAACGGTGTACAGAGCCGTGATGGCCAGGAGCCCCACCACCGAGAGGTAGAGGTCCAGGTGCAGAGACTGCTGGATGAAGATGGCGCCCGCATACATGTCCACCTGCGGGGACAAGAGTGTGACAGATGAGCAAAGGGACGCGGGGATGAAGGGATGGACATTTGCAGCACAGTTTCTCCAGGGTCAGCAGAAACCTTCTGAAATGCCAACCCCCTTTCTCTCACCGGTGAGCCCCTTCTGAGATGTGACTTCCCTGCAAGGCTTCGCAGCAGCTGGACGTTCTCAAGGGTTTGCAAAGGAACATTCTAGAAGGGATCCCGAGTCTGTCCTTTGAGCCTGGAGCTCTTTGGTTCCAGGGGAACTCCTTCTGCGTCCCCTGGTCCCCTACCTGGGGCACGTCCTCCCCACCCCAGCGGCTGGGACGAGCCAGGCCTGCTGAGCCCACGTGCCCCCCGAGGTTGCACGTCTGTGTGGCCGCTGTCCAGGCGATCTGCCCATCCAGAGGTCAGGGTGGGCACGTCCAGCTTGCCCTCCGTGCCTCTGATGAAGAGCTAATCACGGCCTGACCAGGAGGAAGAGCGGGGTCCCAGCCAAGGGCCGGGGGGCTCTGGCAGTTCCATTCCCTGACTCTCAAAGAAACCCAGAGAGACTGCGGCTGGGTGTCGGGTGGAGAAGGCGTCCTCCCTCCCTCGGCCTGTCCTATCCCCCAGCCTCCTCTCACTCCCCTGAAACTGAGAGGGGGAAGGCAGATGGGGAGGGGACAGCCCCGAGATGGGCTGTGACCCATCTTCCCGCCATGCTGCGGGGCCAGGCCAGGCCGCGTCCCCCCCCCCCTTACCGATATCTTGGTGAAGATGTACATGAACAGGTAGATCACGGCCAGGGTGATGGAGATCCTGCTGCCCCCAAAGCGCTTCCGCAGGTACTCCGGCATCGTGGTGACCTGGGGAGCCGGTGGGAGCCCAGCTTTGACCTCCAGCTGGCTCTGGACACCAGGTCCCCCAGCCACCAGCCCTGTCCATGCCCGCCCTGCCCCAAAGCCAGACTCTCGGAGGGTCTTCTTGGGATTCTTAACGGGACACTGAAGAAGGAAGAAGGGTAAAGGGGCCCAGAGAGTGGAGGAGTGGGGGTTCTGTGCAGGGATGTGTACCCCACTGTCACCCCACATGGAGTGCCCCTCCTACGGTGGCCAGAGCCTGTTCTGTCTGGGCAGTGTTGGGGACCGAGCCCGGGGACCCTCTACCACCAGCTTTTTATTTTTTAACTTGAGAAAGGGTCTTGCTAATTTGCCCAGGCTGACCCCCGTGATCCTCCTCAGGGTCCCAGGTAGCTGGGATTGCAGGCATGTGCCCCTGCGCCCAGCCAGGATTATTTTTTATTTAACATTTTTTTTCTAATCGACACATTTTCTTATTTACATAAACTTACTTTAAATCATTTCTGTAATAGAAAAGCAGACCTAAGAGCCAGGTGAGATGGTGCACACCTGTAATCCCAAAGGCTCCGGAGGCAGAAGCAGGAGGGTCGTGAGATCAAAGCCAGCCTCAGCAACTCAGTGAGGCCCCGAGCAACTCATTGTAAGTGAAATATTTTTTAAAAAGGGGGCTGGGGACGTGGCTCAGTGGTTATTAAGCCCCCTGAATTCGATTCCCAGTACCAAAAATAAAAATAAACAACAAAAATCCCCAGTCCTAAATTTAAGGGAACCCTCAAAAATAAATATAGGAATGATAGGGATCATTTAGTTTCTATTCTCTTCTGGCAAATTATTGTTGTACATCAAAGAATTTTTTTTTTGTACTGGGCGTTTAACCCAAGAGTGGTTTACCACTGAGCTACACTCCCAGTCCTTTTAATTTTTTAGTTTGAGACAGTCTCACTAAGTTGTTTGCTGAGGCTGGCCTTGAACTTGCAATTCTCCTGCCTCAGCCTCCTGAGTCTCGCCCACCTACTCATTCTTTCTTGACAAGGAGAGGGAGACAGAGGGAGAGCTGTTGAATGATAAGACGTGAGACTTTGCCCCCGAGTTCCTGTAATGAAGCATTTTACAACGTGTTCATGTACCAAGACATCACACATACCCTGCACTCCAGAGACACGTGTGATCATGATGTGTCAATAAAAATAAAACTTATTTTAAAAATAATTTAAAAAACCTGAAAGATAATGGGAAGGAAATGACTTCACTATGTGACTCAGAGTAGGAGCCCAGGACCAATACCTAGAACCGCCCCAAGAATCACCGTGTTCCAAATTTTTGGGAAATGGCTCTACCGTAGACTTTTGCCAGGTCTAGGGAGCAGATTCTGGGGAGAGGTGGGAGGCAGCTGGAGGGGGAGGCTGGGCCCAGGCTGAGGGTGGAGGACAGGAAGGACAACTGGCCGGCAAGCCAGGTGGGGGTGGGGGAGAAGGGGGGGAGGGGGGGAGAGAGAGTGAGAGAGAGGAGAGAGAGAAGAGGGAGAGAGGAGAGGGGTAGACAGGAGACAGAGAGGGGACAAGGCATCTGCCACCTGCCTGACAGTATTCTAGACAGTAGGAGAAAACAGATGGCCCCACCCTCCTGGGAGAGACACAGCAGTCCAGTGCAATGATTCTCAACCAGGCAAGAGTTTTCACACACACCCCCCAGGGAGTTTTTGGCACTGATTGGAAACATTCTGGCTGTCACAATTTGGGGTCAACCTACTGGCAGCCCAGGATAGAGACCAGAGATGCTGTTCAACATCCTGGAATGCACAGAACTCCCCCACGACCCGCCACACACACACACACACACACACACACACACACACACACACACACGACAAAGAATGACCCAGCCCCAAACATCACTGGTACCAAGGCTGAGAACCCTGGTCTCGTGGAAAAGTCAGATTAATAATCACACAAGCAAATGCAAAACAGCAACCTGAGAAAACCAACAGAGGAGGAGATTTAAGTGGAGGGGGAGCTCAGAAAGGGTTTCCTGGAAGAATTGATGCTTGATCTAAAAATCTGAAGGATGAATAGGATTTGGAAAAATGTACAAAATAATGGAAATGAGTGGAGAGATGGGTGGCCCCTGAGAGCACAGCTTATTTTGCACGTTCATTAATCAAATTAGTCTGTAATTGCCTTAGTGGGCAATATTTGCAGGATCCTATTCTCCAAATATGGTAGGCAAAAATGAATTCTGGGTGGAGGTGGAAAGTTCTAGAAAAAAGTATACGTGGGAGAATATCTTTATGCCTTTGTGATATGACAAGATTAAAAAAAAACAAGATATGAAAGACAGGATCAATGTGGCTACAGTAAAATTGAGACCTGCTTATTGAAAGGTACTGTATGAAAGCGAATCGAGTAGGAAAAAAAAAAGATATTTGTTAACACACAACCATCCTAAGGACTTATTTCTAGAATTTATGAAGAATGAGAACAAATCAATAAAACAAGACACATAACCTAATAGAAAAATGGGCAAAAGTCCCAGACTTCCTGTCATTATAACAGATATCCAAGATAGTCCTTTTATAAAAAGAAGAGGCTTGTTGTGGCTCACACTTAAGTTTGGGTTCTTGGTTTGGCCCAGGATTGGTTGGCTCCATTTCTCTGGACCTGAGGCAGCACATCACGGTGGGAGAGCGTGATGGAACCAAACTGCTCACCACGTGGCCAAAGAGAAGAGCAAGAGACTCTTCCTCTTGTATACGTGGGAGAATATCTTTATGCCTTTGTGATATGACAAGATTAAAAAAAAAAAAGATGTGAAAGACAGGATCAATGTGACTACCCTCTGTGGGGTCCCACAGTGCCCCCGAGAGTATTTCCCCAAGACCCACGACCTCCCACCACGCTCTGCCTCTTGAAGTTCCCCCCACCTCCCAAGAGCACCTGGCTGGGCACCAAGCCTTTATCCTCTGGATCCTTGGGGAACAGTCCAGATCTGAAGGATGGCAACAAGTTATAGCAATTTCCAAAGAGGAAAGTCAAATGGCCAGAGGGTACATCGAGAGAATTGTCGATTAAAAGCCCAGTGAGTTACCAAGTGCACTCGCTCAGGGACTTTGAAGTCAGAAGACCCAAATATCAGCAAGGATGTGGAGCTTTGGAGTAAGGGGAATCTCTCTGGGAGAAAATTTGGTAGCATCTTGTAAACCCCAAGATAAACATCCAGTGGCCACGGCCATTCCACTCGTAGGGAGAACAGGGAGAGTCTCCCCAGCAGTGCATGTGTCAAATCAAGACACAGGGGTTCAAATCCCACAGCAGTGCCCATCATAACTGGACACTGGGAAGTCCCGGATGTCCATGACCTGCAGAATGGTTAAATACATCAGGGTGGAGTCATACTTCAGAATCCCAACGAAATACACAGTAAGGAAAATTAACACGTGGAAAGAATCGGTACCCTCCAGGGACATCAGTGGAGTAGAAGGTGGAGAGGGAGGGAGGAGGAAAGGGGAGGAAAGCCTGAGTGAATTGAACAAAATCCTGACATGGGCACATATGAACACGCCACAGTGAATTCTACCTCCATGTGTGTTCATAAAACACCAATCAAAAATAGGTAAATGGCCCAGCGTGGTGGCTCACGCCTGTCCTCCCAGCGGCTCAGGAGGCTGAGGCAGGAGGATTGCAAGTTCAAGGCCAGCCTCCACAACTTATCGAGGCCCTAAGCAACTTAACAAGACCCTGTCTCTAAATATAAAAAATAAGAAATACAAAAGGGCTGGGGATGTGGCTCAGTGGTAAAGTGCCAGAAAAGTAAGAGATGGAGAAGAGGGGGAGGGAGGAGGGAGGGAAAAGGAGGGGGACCAGGGACGGAAACAGAGTAGATCATGTTCCATGCACATATGATTTTGTCAAAATGAATTCAACTATTATGCGTCAGTACAATGCATTACTTAAAAAAATAAAATATGCTACCCCTGATTCAATTTATATGTGATTATAGATAAAAGCTCGATCAAATGATATTGTTCAGGTAGGTGCAATAAAAACTGCAAAGAAAAGTCAGGAAGTGATTACTTGAGGCTGAGAGGGAGGCCCGTGGTCCTTCTAAGGCTCCAAGGGGACATTAAACTTCAGGTGTTCTTCTTCTTCTTCTTTTTTTTGGTACCAGGGATTGAACTCAGGGGCACTCGACCACCGAGCCACATCCCCAGCCCTGTTTTGTATTTTATTTAGAGACAGGGTCTCACTGAGTTGCTTAGGGCCTCACTTTTGCTGAGGCTGGCTTTGAACTCGAGATCCTCCTGCCTCAGCCTCCCTAGTCACTGAGATTATAGGCGTGAGTCACCACACCTGAAGAGATTTTATTATTATTATTATTTGTGTTTTGGCATTAAAACAATTCTGAGCCCAATTCTTTCCAGCCCCTGAGCACCCCATGTGCACCTTAAGATGTGGATTATGAGGTCAGAGCTGCTCAGGGGTCCCAGTGCCCTCACCTGTGCCTCATCCCTCCCCAGAGCTGGGACCTCTTATGGATGTCCATGGGCCCGAGGACAGGGAAGGGCAGCCCAGCATTTCCCCCAGAGTGTCTTCCCATCCCATCCCACCTGAAGCTCCTCAGACTCACCTGCCCAGCGATGTAGATGGGGAGGAAGATCCAAGACAACATCAACACAGAAAATAAGCCCTGCCCAAAAAAACACAGGCAGAAGTTGACTCCCAGCTCCCAACAAGGTGCCGATCCAGATGTCTCTCTGCACCCTGAGGGAACCTGACCTGAACTCCACCTCATTTTGTGTCTTATTTGCTGCATGGTTCACCTTCCCTGGCCTTCAGCTTTCCATTTTTTAAAAATGGAGAAGAGAATTAAGGAGGGAAGGGAAGAGTGGAAGTAGAAGCCTTTGTGACGCCCTCTAGTTTTGTGTAGCCTGAATGTCCCCCCCCCAGCCCGTGCATCCAGTTGTTCTTCCTGTCTCCTTGGCAGTGGCTGAGGCAGACCTGGGCTCAAAGACTGGACACGCTCATGCCTGGCTGGGGATGCTGGAGACTTACTGAGACTCAGTCTGCTCAATTGTGAAATGAGAAAAACAGCACCTCACTATTTTGCTGCAGGGAAATCGGCGAGATGACATTTACTAAGCAATTATTATATGCCAGGAATTTCTCTTCAGCCTTTATAAGCATTAATTCACTTATTAATTCACTTAATTCTCTTAATGTCTCTAGGTGGCAAGTAGAGATGAGGAAGCGACTTCAGAAACTGTTTCTTAGACAGTCCAGGTTGGAGATGTAGCTCAGTGGCTCTACGAGGCTCAGAGAGGTTAAGTAACTTGCCCAGGGTCACAGAGCTTATAAACATTGAAACCAGGATGTGAACCCAAGTATTCGGGTTCTAGTCTGTAATTGAATTTCATAATGTGATAGTATATGCAGCATACTGAGGTCGGAGCCTGGCATAGAGTAAGCATTTTAAAAATGTTAGTCATGATGAAATGAAGGTCATCATTAATAAACACAAGGTCGGGTCGCTTCCCAGGAAAAATAATCCAGTGTGAATTCTGCTGTGTAGAAATGTGTCTTCTCATGAGTATCGCGAGGGTTAAAAAAAAAAACCCAAAAAACAATTACCATTGAGCCATATAATTTTTGTGATGGACAACTGATGTCCCCTGACATCATCCTTTTCCTGCATCTGAGAGGGAGGGATTCTGAATCGTCTTCTCCAAATCTCTATTGTTGGAGTCACCAAGCAAAGGCAGGGACATCTGAGGCTCACAGACCCAAGGGAGGTTTGCTGATGGAGGACCCTTGAGCCTCCTGTTCCTGTTTTCAAAAAGTACTGTTCTGCTTTTTAAAGTGCATCGGTGGCACACGCCTGTTATCCCAGCGGCTCTGGAGGCTGAGGCAGGAGGATCGCAAGTTCAAAGCCAGCCTCAGCAATTTAGCGAGGCCCTAAGCAACTTAGCAAAAAAAACCCTGCCTCCAAATAAACAATTTTTTAAAAGGCCTGGGGATGTGGCTCAGTGGTTAAGCACCCCTGGGTTCAATCCCTGGTACCAAACAATGAAGTCAATAAAATAAAGTGCAGGGCATTCACGACTTCTCCCCAGGTGCCCCCACCAGGTAGAGGCCAGGTGCCTGTCATGGGTGAAATACTTACATTCAGCTCATAAGCAGTGACCGAGATACCCACAGCAGCCCCTGACCCCGCCAGACCAAGGAAATGTCCACTTCCGACATTGCTGGCGAACAAGGACGCGCCCACCTGCGGGGGACACATGGATCAGATGGTGCAGCCAAGAACCAGTTCTGTCCAGGTTCCAAAGGGACCAAGGCAAATAAAGAGGAGAAAGAGACCCCACCCTTCTCCGGCATCTTTGTTCAAATTAGAAAAAGACCCCCCCCCCTCCCAGCTCTTTTGCATCCACCTATCAGAAATGGTTAAACAGGCACACCTCACCTCCAACGCCTACAGGTTGAATTGCGCCCCCTAGAGGTACACAGTGCACAGCTTGAACAACGGTGCGCAGCGTCCTTGGCGGGGAGGGGAGAATGACAGGCACTGATTTAAATGCTTCCTGATGAGAATCCGGAGCCTGATGACTCCTCACCCCCTGCTTGCTCACATCACCAACCCTCCTTCTGGGACAAAGTGGCCAAGACTGTACTCCCTGATTCCAGACACTGCTCTCTGCTGATTGGACGGGACAGCCCTTGGCTCTGACAGGGTGTCTTTTCAGTCCATTAGTTCTTTAACTTGTCTAATGATGTTTGCAGTGTGTATTACCCACCTGTTATCAAATGTATTTTATTTTTGATGCCATTGTTACCATTGTTAATGGAATTATTCTCTTAATTTCATTTTCAGATTATTCATTACTAGTATATAAAATCACAATGGACTTCTTTTTTTGTGTGTGTGCCAGGGTTTGACTCAGGGACGCTTAACCCCTGAGCCACATCCCCAGCCCTTTTTATATTTTATTTTGAGACAGGACATCACTGAGTTGCTTAGGGCCTTACTCAATTTCTGAGGCTGGCTTTGAACTTGCGATCCTCCTGTCTCAGCCTCCCCAGCTGCTAAGATTTCAGGCATGCACCACTGTGCCCGGCTAAAATACAATGGACTTTCAACACTGATCTTATATTCTGCAGTCTTACTGACTCATTTATAACCTCTAGTAGCATTTTGTGGGTTACTTAGTTTCTATGTGCAAGATCATACTGTATGCAAATTGAGAGAGATTTATGTTTTCCTCTTCAATCAGGGTGACTACTTCTTTTTCAAATTGCAAATTTCCCTGGCTAGGACCTCTGGCAAAATGTTGAAAGTGTCATAAGGGCATGCCTGTAATCCCAGAGACTCAGAAGGCTGAGGCAGGAGGATTGCAATTTGAGGCCAGTCTCAGCAAATTAGTGAGACCCTAAGCACCTTAGCAAGACCCCGTCTCAAAATATCCTGTCTTAGTAAATAAAAAGCGCTGGTGATGTGGCTCAGTGGTAAAGAATCCCTGGGATCAATCCTTACTGCAACAACAAACAGAAAAATCTTTGTCTGGTTCCTAATCTTAGGGGGATACTCCATCTTTCACTCTTGGGCTCGTTAGCTGTGGTGTGTCTTTGTAATGTCCTTTATTAAATTAAGGAAGTTTCCTTCTATTTCTAGTATTTTTTTTTTGGAAGTTTCAACATAGAAGGGTTTTAGATTCTGCCAAATGCCTTTCCTGCATCTGTCACAGGGATCGGGAGGGTTTTGCCACTTCTTGGATGATACAGCATCTTACCTTGAGTGACTTTTGGTAAATCAGATCAAATTTTCATTTCTAGGGTCAATCTCACTTGGTCACGGTGTGCAGTCATTTTTATGTGCTGCTGGATTTGGAGTGCTGAGAGCTTTTGAGTATATTCAATAGAAATACTTATCTGTAGCTTCTCTTTTCTTGGGAGATCTGGTGTGATCTCCTGGTTAACATTGGTCTTGCAGGAGGGGTTAGAAAGTGTCCCCCTATCTCTGGGAGGACTTTGTGAAGGATCGGTGCTAATTCCTCTCCCATCTTTGGCAAGAATTCACTTGGAAGTCCTCTGCTTGGGGCTTCTCTTCCCGGGAAGTTTTATAGTTGCTCATACAATGTCTCCACCTTGCACGAGGACAATCAGGCTTTTCATTTCTCCTTGAGTCACTTTGGGGACTTGGTGTCTTTCTAGGGATTTTTTTCCATGTCACCTAGATTTTCTAATTTTTTATTTTTGGCATAACTGTTCACAGAGTCTCCTTATAATTATGTTTTAAATTTTTCTTTAGTATTGGTAGTAGCACCACCTCTTAAATCCCTGATTTTAATAGTTTGTACCTTCTCTTCTTTGTGTTCATAAAACTGACCACCTCGCTAGGAGGTGGTCAGTTTTATGAACCTTTGCAAGAACCAATTTTTTTTTTCTTTTTTATACTGGGGATTGAACTCAGAGGTGCTTAACCACTGAGCCACATACCCAGCTCTTTTTATTTTATTTATTATATATATTTTTAAAATTTTTTGTAGTTGTAGGTGGACAGCATGCCTTTATTTTATTTGTTTATTTTTTATGTGCTGCTGGGGATCGAACCCAGTGCCTCACGTGTGCTAGACAAGTGCTCTACCTCTGAGCTACAGCCCCAGCCCTCTTTTTATTTTTTATTTAAAGACAGGGTCTCACTAAGTCGCTGAGGCTGGCTTTGAACTTGTAACCCTCCTGCCTCAGCCTCTCCCAGCTGCTGGGATGACAGGTGTGCGCCACGGCACCTGGCTCTACCTTTGCTATTGTTGATTTCTCTGATGATTTTCTAGCCTCGACTTCATCTTTCTCCACTCTTTTATTGCTTCCTTCCTTCTGCTTGCGTTGGATTTAGTTTGCTTTTCTTTTTCTACTTAATGTGAAAGGCTAAGTAATTGGTTCGGCGTCTTTTTTCTTTAAAAAAAAAAACAACAACAACTGGGCATTGCAATATGAATTTGCCTCTAAGAAATGCTTTAGCTGCATCTCATAACTTTGGGTAGTGCTTTTGCTTTCAATCCTCTCAAAATATTTCCTAAAATTGTTACAATTTCTTCTCAGATCCATTGATTATTTTAGGATGCATTGCTTAATTTCTACGTATTTGTGAATCTCCCAAACTGCCTTCCATTAGTGATTTCTAATTTTATTTCACCATGGATAGACAATATTCTTTGTGTTCGTTTCAATATTTTAATACATATATATATTTTTTGGTACTGGGGATTGAACTCAGGGGCACTCCACTACTGAGCCCCATCCCCAGCCCTATTTTGTATTTTATTTAGAGACAGAGTCTCCCTGAGTTGCTTAGGGCCTCACTGTTGCTGAGGCTGGCTTTGAACTTGCCATCCTCCTGCCTCAGCCTCCCGAGCCTCTGGGATGACAGGCGTGCCACGCCCAGCCTCAGTCATTTTAAATTTATCGAGACTTATTTGTAGCTGAGCATCTCCAGTTTATCCTGGAGAATGTTCCCTGTGCCCATAGAAGAAGGCATATTTGGTTGGGCGGACTATTTCTCTGTATGTCTGTTATGTGACAGATAGAAACTTAGATGAGAGAAAGACAGACAGACAGACAGAGAATAGTCAGAGGAACCAGGTCATTGGGTCCCAGGGGCAGCACCTGAGCCTCTGCATTCAGCCACACCCCAAACCAGTCCACAGGTAGAGGGTTCCCTTGGAGGAGCCGATAAATCCTCTTTTTGCTTAAATAAATTTGAGTTGGCGCCAAGCCCTTTTTAGTTTGGACTGTGACTTTCAGCCAACATGGAGCCCAAGAGCCCGAGATGGAGCACCCGTCCTGGAAGGTTCTTTGGGAAGTGACTTAGCTGGACTGGAGAGCACTTACTGGCCACCACACCATGTCCCCTCCAGCCAGGAAGTAGCCTTTCACCGTGTCTCTTTTGGTCTTCACCGTGGACTGAAACAGAGAGGAGGGGGGGGAGACTGTTAGCAATTCCCGGCATCCCCCATGGGGACAGCCCCCAGGGAATCCAGCAGGCCAGACTTGGGGACCTCACTGGCTCTTCAGGGTTGGCATTCACCGAGTGCTTTCCCTGTTCCATGCTGAGCATCTTCTAGACATCAGCTCATTTTGATCCTTACCAACTCCTGAGAGGTGGGTGCCACCAGGACCGTCTGACAGAGGAAAAGACTGAGTGAGGCTCAAGTCCTACCCATTCATGCTGCTATAACAAAATGCCAGAGACTAGGTAATTTATAGACACCAGAAACTTGTGCCTTGTAGTTCTGGAGGTTGGGAGGTTCAAGATCAAGGTGCCCACGGGTTCGGTGTCTGGTGAGGACCCCGTAACTCATAGATGGAGCCTCCTCTGTGTCCTCACAGAGCCTGTGAGTGGGACGGGGAACTCGTTCCCCTGATATTCTTATAAAGCCTCTGATCCCTTTTATGAAGTTTCTGCCCTCATGACTGAATCACCTCCTCAAGTCCCCACCTCTTTATACTGTCACATTGGCAATCAGGTTTCAACATGGATTTCAGAGATAGGAAAATGGTTCTTAGACACATCATCTCTGTCCAGACTCCTTCATTATGAGATAAGTGCATATTAACAATGCATTGAGGGCTGGGGATGTGGCTCAAGCGGTAGCGCGCTCGCCTGGCATGCGTGCGGCCCGGGTTTGATCCTCAGCACCACATACCAACAAAGATGTTGTGTCCACCAGAAAAAAAAATAATAATAATAAATAAATATTAAAAATTCTCTCTCTCTTTCTAAAAAGAAAAAAACCAAAAAACAATGCATTGAGATACTATTTTCCTCTGTCAGTTTGACAGCACCTGGTTGGTGAGGACACGATAAAACAGGCTTTGTTGTACATATGTGCAGATGGGTAATTTATGCTAATTGGACACAAATTTAGCATAACTGCAAATGCATATCTCCTTCAGTCTGAGAATCCTATTTTAGGAGATTTATCCTACATCATGTCTACACTCCAAAATAATGAGTGCATAAGGTTTGTTTATTATAACCTGGACAGTAAGAGGTGAGAGAAAACCCAACTGTCCCTCAGCAGGAAGTCGGTTAAGTAAATGACAATAGAGTCATCTAATGCTGTTCAGTGTTTAGGATGAGGAAGCCGAGCCTGTGATCCTAGAGGCTCTGGAGGCCGAGGCAGGGGGATCGCGAGTTCAAAGCCAGCCTCGGCAACTTAGCAAGACCCTGTCTCTAAATAATATATATATAAAAGGGCCAGGGATGTGGCTCAGTGGTCAAGTGTCCCTGGGTTCATTCCCTGGTACCAAATAATAATAATAATAATAATAATAATAATAATAATAATAATAATAATAATAATTAGTTAAAATAGAATAAAGATAATTAGGAAGGTTTGAGGTACTGATATGAAGAGACAGTGGTAAGTAAAAACAACAAGGTAAAACACAAGTAAGTACAGAAAGCTACTTCCCGTTTAAGAAAGAGGGCAATAAACATATTAATACTGGCTTTGATTTGCATAAAGAAACTGGAAGAATTCATAATACACAGTGATTACAAGCCAGTAATGGCAGCTTCCTATGCAGGGAAGAGTCACAGGGAGACTTTATACTTATGTCCTGAGCTATTTTTATTTTGAGCCACTCTTGCCTTTAAAAAAAAAAAAATTCCTTTAGATTGCTGGGTGTGGTGGCGCACACCTGTGATCCCAGCAACTCAGGAGGCTGAGGCAGGAGGATCTTGGGTTCAAGGTCAGCCTCAGCCATTTAGTGAGACTCTGCCTCAGGAGATGGGGTGGGAGATATAACTCACCTCCCTGGGTTCTATCCCTAGTATTTCAAACAAAACCAACAAACAAAAGCTTTTAGATTAAAATAAAAAGAACATAGGCTTCAAAATAAGGTGGATAGGAATTCCAACTCCAGTTCTTCCAACTTACTAACAGAATAAAGAACTTAAATTTTTGAGACTCAGTTTCTTTGTCTGCTAAATGGGCACAGTGTCTTCTGAGAGGCCCTGGGCAAGTTGCCTGAGATGACTTGAGGGGAAATGCTTAACCAGCTCGAGGCACAGCCAACGCCAAGGTGCTTTTGAAATGTTAGAGGCCTGAGGAAGACCTTGGGCTGGTTTCTTCCTCTCAGTACGTCATCTCCCAAATCACAGGGTTCACGCGGGGCTTCAGGCCAGTGTCCCCTTCTCCCCCCCTCCCCAGGGCCTGGCTTACCCAGAGTCCAACAGCCAGGACGAAAATGAAGTAAAGCACCAGCACCGCGATGTCTCCAGGCTCCAGGCTCTTCTGGGGAAAAGCCTCCAGGGGATCCGACTGCGGAGGCCGCGGGCTGCTGGGGCTGCTGGGGCTGCTCTCCATGGTCCTGAATGAGCCTTCTCAACCCTGCGAAGGGCAGATGTGTCAGACCCCAGATTCCCTTTCTAGGCTGCCTCCTGGGGCCATCTGAGGAGTAAGATCCACATGGAGGGATGTGCGCTGGAGGAAGGTCCCTACATTCATCCATCCACCCATCCATCCACTCGTCCATCCATTCGTCCATCCATTCGTCCATCCACTCGTCCATCTGCTCATCCATCCATTCATCCATCTGTTTGTCCATCCACTCATCCATCCACTCAACCATCCACTCATCTATCCATTCATCCATCCATTCATCCATCCATCTGTCCATCCATTCACCAATCCGCTCGTCCATCTGCTCATCCATCCATTCACCCATCTGTTTGTCCATCCACTCATCCATCCTCTTGTCCATCCACCCATCCATCCATTTATCCATCCGCTCATCCATCTGCTCACCTATCCACTCGTCCATCCATTCATCCATCTGTTTGTCCATCCACTCATCCATCCACTAAACCATCCACTCGTCCATCCATTCATCCATCTGTTCGTCCATCCACTCAACCATCCACTCAACCATCCATTCATCTATCCATTCATCCATCCATTCATCCATCCATTTGTGCATCCATTCATCCATCCACTGGTCCATCCACTCATCCATCCACTCGTCCATCCACTCATCCATCCACTCGTCCATCCATTTGTCCATCCATTCATTCATCCACTTGTCCATCCACTCATCCAACCACTCATCCATCTGTTCGTCCATCCACTCATCCGTCCACTCAACCATCCACTCATCTATCCATTCATCCATCCATTTGAACCAAACACTCTTGCTCCAGAATCCAGGCTTTCAACCTGTTTCCCAGCAGACTGCACTTCCATGGATAATTTAAGGGATTCCAGTGACAAGCAGGTTAACGGACCCAAGGCTGTTGACATCTGATCCCCAGAACCTGTGAATATGTTCTTAAATGACAAAGGAAGATTCAGTTTGCAGGTAGAATTAAGGTTGCAAGTCAGTTGACCTTAAATATAGGGAGATGTCTGGGTATAGAGGACCTTAAAGTAGGGACCTCTCTGGATGATGTGGGTGGGCCTGTGTCACTCACAAGGGGAGGCAGAACCAGAAGAGAAACCAAACAGGTGACAGTGTGAGGTGGTGGTGGGGGTTGGGTGGACCTTGCTGGCTTTGCCAAAGGCAGAAGGGACCCTGCCTACAGGATCCGGATAAAGCAAAGGGATGGACTCTCCCCTGGACCTTCTAGAAGGAATTCAGCCCTGCTCATACCCTGATGTTAGCTCACGAGACCCCTTTAGAACTTTTCAACTGTAAGATGCGAAACTCATGGTGTCTTAGCCGCAAAATCTGCGACCACTCACTACAGCAGCAATCCCAAGGAATAGTTTAAAAATAATTATGAAGACTCTTCTTTATCATCAGCACCCTGTAGAAACTAGTTGGTAATAAGGAAGTGGTGGGGGCTGGGGTGTAGCTCAGTGGCAGAACATGTACCTGGCCTGTAGGAGGCCCTGGGTTTCAGCCCCAGCACTGCCAAAAATATATAAGGAAATGGGGAGAGGTGAGATCAGATGGGGGCAGAGTCGAGACACAGGCGTGGCTGGGTGCAGAAAGTTGTGCAGGAAGGTTATTTTGAAGGCAGCGTCGTGGACCTTAGAGGGTGAGCTGGGAGGGGTTAGGGGCTGTCTTCGTCCGTTCCTGCTGCTATTAACAAAATACCTTAGCCTGGGTAGTTCACAAACAACAGAAATGGGTCAGGTGTGGTGGTGCACGCCTATAATCCCAGCAACTTGGGAGGCTGAGGCAGGAGGATCATGAGTTCAAAGCCAGCCTCAGCAACTCAGCGAGGCCCTAAGCAACTCAGCGAGACCCTGTCTCTAAATAAAATATAAAAAGGGCTGGGGATGGGGCTCAGATGGAGTGCCCCTGAGTTCAATCCCTGCTACAAACAAAAAAACCCAAGCAAAACCCAGAAGTGGGTTGCCCACAGCTCTGGAGGCCTGGGAGTTCAAGATCAAGGCACCAACAGATGCAGTGGGCAAAGCCCCGATGCTCATAAATGATACTTCTATGTGGCCTCCGTGGGGGACCGCTCTCGTAGAGGCTTACAGGAGGAGATTGAATGTTCCCTTGGAGATGCTGCCCTGTGGGGCCCTCAGTATCTGTTAGGTCCTGTCTTGAGACCAGTGTAACCTTGAACTTCTGGATGGGGCCACTGCACCTCCATGATCTCTTATCTCCTGATGCAGGATTAAATAGCAGAAGCCAAAGTTCCAACCCAGCCCCCGTCACCTGTGTCTCAGTGGGTCTCGGTTTAGGATCAATGGATGCTAATAATCACAGCTGCTGCAGACCCCCGTCTAGGACCACTCATAGACCTCAGGTCTTGGCTGGGGAAGGTGGGGAGGGAGGGCTGGAGACCCCTTCTGGCTGTGGGGTGAAGCTTCCTAAAGTAGGTTCTAGAGCTGAAAGGCAGGTTCTGGAGGCTTGGAGGAGGAGAGGGGGCCAGATGCCCTTGAGGGTATCTCTAAGGAGAAAGCCCTCCTCAGGTCATGCCGGCTTTAGAAGTGAGGAAGTTGTGGCTCAGAGAGGTTTAGGGATACATCCAAAGTCACACAGCGGATGAGCGGTGAAGTGAGACTCAAATCCAGATCTTTCTGACTTCAGAGCCTGCCTTCTCCAACATTTCCACCTGCTGCTTCCAAAGCAGGGGACTTTAAGGAGAATGAGGACAGGAAGCAGCTCAGGGTTGCAGAAGGAGCCAGCCCTCCCTGTGCCCAGCCCCGCCCCCACGCCCCTTGCAGCCCTCGGCCCGCCAGGCACGGAGCGCGGTGGGAGCGGCTCGCTGCACATAAACAAGTTATTCATCACCGCTTTGGGGCCCGGGGGAGGCTGGCACCGCTTCCGAGCCTTCCTGGGTCCAGGGAGGTGGGGCCCTGCCAGGGTGTGCAGGGGCCTGGCTGCATCTTCACGGCGGGAACAGGAGCATCCGTGGACCAGAGGCGCCGGGTCGCCCAGTTCTGCTGCCTCTGTCCCTGGCCCCAGGCAGATCCCTCCTGCGCCCCTTCCTTATCCAGCACCCCAGGGGTAGGGCAAGGACTGGCCATGAGCTTAGGGCCACAGGCTCCCTCTGTGTCACCCTGGCCTGCTGCATCTCCAGTGAGCTGGCTTCCGGGCTGATTTTTGTCTCAACGAACTCCAGAGGTAGGATTTGAACCCAGGTCCTGCGTGGCAGCTCATCATGACCTGGCTGCCTCTCCTCCCCTCCTCGGGCGCGTTTCTCCTTCATTCTTTCCTTCCCCCTGTCTCTGTTCCTTCTCCACAAACATTTGTTAGGCTCTCTGCCAGGCCTGAGAAACTCAAAGGAGCATTTATTCAGCACTAGCTGTTTGCCAGGCTCAGTGCTAGGCCCTGGAGACTCATTGGAATGAACACTCATTGGGCACCAGTTGTGTGCCAGACTCTGTGCGAAGCCCTGGAGACCGAGTAGGGCAAACAATTATCAGGCCTCAGCTGTGTTTCAGGGTCTGTTAGGTCGGTCAGTGGAAAAAGCATTTATTAGGCACCAGCTGTGTGCTCGGCATGGTGGATAAAACAGGGAGAAAGGCAGCCCCGCCCCCATCCTCAGGGGTTTTCACCCCAACCCCTTGCAGCATGGTGTGTCCCCAGGACCAGGGGGTGAAATGACCCCAAGCACCTTTCGCACCTTGTCCCAGAATTCTTTGCGGTCTCTGGAGGGCCATGCTCCTCCTGCGGGGGGACCCTGCCCGTTCATTCCTGGAGGGCGGGTTAAGGGCAGCCTGGGTTCTGACAAAGGCTTTCTTTGCAGTGGGTGGCCCTGCCCTTGAGGTCGCCTGCTGGCCCGAGCACAAAAGGAAGCTCAGTCCGGCGGGCGCAGCTCACAGCCTTCCTTTTGACCTTCTGTGTAATCTGCTGTGGTCGGATGTGAAAATTTTCCACACCACGGTGCAAGGGGAAGAGAAATCAGGAAACAGGTTCCCAGGCCACGGGGCACAGGCAGGTGGGGGCTGCCTCTCCTGACTCGGGTCCCCCCGGGTGTGCGCCCACTGGGGGGGCTACCTGTGCCTCCAATAACTTCTGCGCCTCTGACGCATCTCACAATGAATGAAAGGGGAATGAAACAGAGCAATGCTGACAGCCGGCTGTGTGTGCGGGAGACACTCACAGACACAGAACAGTACCGTTTGTCAGGATCGGGCATGTTGGCCAGTAAGGATCCATCACTTCAGAGGGAATGGCAGGAGGTGGACAGGGAGGGAGAGAGAGGGAGAGAAAACGGAAGTTCTCTGCATTAACCAACCACGACAGAGTCGCTCTCTCCCTGCAGATTTTAATTATGGGGAAAAGACGACCCAAGAAATAGATGTGATAAAGTGTAAAAACTTTAGAACTTCACTACCCCAGCTCAACTCCCAGCTCCACTTCCTCTGAGCTCTGTGACCTTGAGACTCAGTTTCTCCATCTGTAAAACGGGAATCATAACCAGACACAGGCCACGGGTTTGTTAAAAGCAGTGGGCGTAGTCCCTGATGCTATGTAATTAGGTACGGGGTACTTGATCTGCCCCCATCCGTGGCCTTTGTGGCCAGCCAGACCCTGGCCACTCATTGCATGAGTCTCATTGACAACACAGCTCTCCGAAGAGCTCAGGTCTCTGATCAACCCCATTGATCAGGGGAGTCAAAGAACAGGCCACTGGTAAATGACCAAACTGGGCTCCAACCCAGGTTTAACTCAGAGCTCCTAACCACCCTGGGGCACGTGAGCCTGGCAGGTGTGATAACAAGGCCTGGCATGGGCCAGCAGCCTCTCAGGTCCTTGTCCCCTCTCCTGTGTGGCGGGCTGCAGCGGAAGCCCCCTGTCCGCTCCACAGCCACACAAGCTGGGCCTCAGGTCCTGGTCTAGGGGCTTCGGGCAGAGTCAGGCCATCCAGAGGGAGGCAGAGAAGTCGAGAGGACAGAAGAGAGGCTAAGGCAGAG